TATATATATATATATTAAGAGTTCTTGAAAAAGAATGATTTCGATTCATAAGATACGATCAATAAAATCAGACATTTTTAATACATTTTTCAAGTAAACTATGAATCATAGAAAAAGAAAAATATGTTATATAACATAACAATACATTTCTTTTGTATTAGATGTTCTCCAAAGAAAACGAACTAGATTTATGAGATACATAATCAATAATAGAAGAATGATTTTTCGATATACTTTTTTTCACAGGAAAAAAAATTTATATATCACAAATAATGTATTTTCCATTACCAATTTGAAAGAAACGATTGAAACTTAAATAAATAATATTATATAATTTATTATTCTTTTTCGGCATGCGGCAGTCAGTACCATACCACGTAAGAAATTCTAGATATTATGTTGATTTTTCGAGCCACGGATAATTTTGGTTTCAAATATGGGAAAACCAAAGCATTTGGAAACAGTGATTACCTAACATTTCTTGTTTTATATTAAATTTAACATATGCATTCACGTGTTTGGTGGGACCCATTGACTTGACATATTTAGTATTATTTCACCTACTCGACCACCATATTGTAAATTTTATTTATAAGAAATAGTTTCAATTTTGCGTAAGATCTTTACCATATTTCTAGTACCTTTTGATTTTTTTTTGAAATAAAATGTCACCTTTTTTAACATCCATACATTTGGACCGAATTAAATTTTTTTAATATACTTTGGTCCTAACTATATAAATTCGTTCTTTTTAATTTACTGATATTAATGCTAATCCAATCGAAACTAACCTAGTTATCATTCAATTGGATTCATTTCCTTTGAAATTTCCGATGAACAATTTTTCATCAAATCAGTAATATCTTTTTGTGTTTTTTTTTTCTTTTTTTCATTTTAACAAATTCTAATTCAACAAAGCTATATTTATTTAAACACGTGTAATTAATTTCAGAAGGACGTGAAAGGACCTGACAACAGTTCATCAAGCCCATCCAATGAAAACGTGCCACGTTGTCAAAGTCAGAGTTTACAAAAGTGCACTGGTCCGAGAAGTGACAGCTTTTTGTATGGCCACGGACACGACCCAATGTCCTTGGGCCCACACTCCATCATCGATCTGCCACGTCATCTCCTATTTAGCCAGTGGGACCAACACGGTTGCCAAAGCGAAATTTACCATTTAACCCTTCTAAATCAAAGAAATTTCTCTAGGCTAAAAATTAAACCATCACAATTCCTTCTTTTTTTTTTTCAGAGGTGAACTTTTTTTATAACGGTCATTTTATTTATTTAGTGAGACATAAAAATAAAATAAAATCTTAAAATCTATTTTGGTATAAAATAGATAAAATACTAATATCTTTCGTCATTATACATTAGGAGGGTGAAAAAATGACCAAGGGGTGTTCGTGTTTGTGTCGAGTCATGAATGCTGTCGGTCCATTTTTTTTTCCTGTGTCGTGCTGTATTAATGGAGATATAATTTTAATAAAGTATATCTTCAAAAGAAAATATAAAAATACGGTTCTTCATTCTGAATCTAATGTAACATTTAATATTTTATATTTTAAAACACGAGTTTATATCAAGTAGCAAGCAGGACGTGATGGATTTTGGAGATATTGATTTGAATTATCTTGCAATTATGATACAGTTTTATTTTAATATGAAAACATAAATCTTATTTTTATGCCCGCAATAGTAGTGTTCTTCGAGTTCCTATATATACATGTATCGTTGTTTCCCAATTTTAATGCTAATTTTTCAAAAAAAAAAAAGATAAAAAAGGAAAAATGAACAATAAAATATGAGCGTGGGAGACTGGGAGTGATGGGCTATCGATACAGCCTTTAATAATTACAATATGTTCCCAACGGCCCAATACATACCCAATAAGAAATAATTAATATACATATACTATATATATATATGTAAAATATTCGGTATAAGCATTTAAAACAAAAAATTAATCTATAGTTAAGTGTTTGAATTATGAAAACATATTCATAATAGATTATATATTTATCCGTTTCATTTTGCTTTAGCTCCCTTCTGATCTCCAAATATTTACTCGGAATAAACCCTAGATAGATAATTTGGATGGAGCTTTTGGTTCTTTGGGATATTTATTTTGTATTTGAATTAGTCAGCCCTTTTTAATTGTTATATTAAACGGTTTATGACTGTTTCTTCTATTATGTATATGCATGCATGCATGCATGTATGCATGTATGCATGCATGTATGTATGTATGTATGTATGTATGTATGTATGTATGTATGCATGGGTTTGAAAAGAAGAGTTGGACAGATGGTGCGGCACATAAGGAGAAAAGACAAGCGACAGATAAAGAAAGAGATAAGAGGCGAGATGAGTATTACTCCACTGTCTTTTGGTGGGTAATTGGAATTTTGTTTAAATATATATAAAACCACAAACACATTTCGGTCTGATTTGTGGACTCTATTTCTCTATCCCGTTACAATGATTTAGTGATCAAAATAAATGATAGTTTTTTTAAAATGTTTGACTAAATCCAAAAGTAAGATTAATAAAGCTCGTTTTAGGTACAAAACTAAATCTAATTAAATTGAATAATATATACTTTTATTCGAATTGCATATAATTTTCAATTCTGTAGAATACAAAAAAAATCATATAAATTAAATTGACGTGATTTCAATTAAATATGCAAAATAATTGAAAAAACGTTTTTTTAAAAATAAATTAATTTATGAAATCAATATTTTTTTTAATGAAAATTCAAACTAAAAAATCCAAACAAAACCCCGATTCAATATAAAAATGAAAGAAATACTTTTAAACATAAAAAATCCAGAAGAAAAAATATTTGATAACAGCTGCATCTTGTTTATTTGTTGAAAAGACTAATTTTAATATTTCGGAACCGATGACATAAAACCTTAGTTCAAAGCACATATAATCTTCAACAATCCATCTTTTTGGTGGTTCACATCAAGAACAAAGACAAACAGAAGGGGATATTTAAAGAAAATGATTGGAAGACAATAATGATAGAGGAGACAGACTCTTTTTTCCTGATTAATCCCATTTAATTTCATTTTCATATTTGATTTTTTTTCGTTTCTTTTCAGGTTTAAAGCAATTAATTTGTTATTTCTATACTTCTCAAAGAAAATATCTCTCATGATTTTTTTTTATAATGATGTGAAATGTGTGAATAATAGATGTGTGTCAAATCAAATAGTTTATATAAAATTACAAGAAAAAGATTTAATATTTAAGAAATTAATCAATAAGTTAAAATCTTTTTTTCATGTTTTCAATGAGTAATAATTTTCTTAAATGAAAATCTAGAAAATACTAATTATATGTTGATGACTGATAACTAACAAATTTTAATTTTAGTGGATAGCACTAAAAGAAAATATCTTAGGCATCGAATTCATTGTGTGGTATGGTTGTTTTCCGACAATGACAACTGGACGCCGGCGAACAAATGTCTATAGATTTAATTTTAAAAAGAAATTAGGGTTTGGGGTAAAAGGTCTATACGTTCTCTCATTTTTTATTTTTACTTTTGTAAAAAAAAAAATTCATTTTGTCACACTGCTTTTGGGTAAAATTAACATTTATGATATCAAATCTCGAAGCGTGAGATCTTTCAACACACACACACACTTGTGGTGAATGGCTAAGGTAGCTTTTAGTTGTGTAGTACAGACACATCTTATCGTCTATGCTATTATTACATTGCTCAATTAAATGTTTTGTATTTTCTTTTGGTTAATAAATGTTTTTTTTTCAATTCCAATATTGTCCGGTCCCTCCCTTCCCACCCTTTTGGGTAAATTTTGCAATCGTAAAAGATTTTTAAGTTGGGTGAAATGTTACAGAATTTTGCAAATTCCTGCAAGCCCTTCACATAACGCGTTTTATTGATGTGTAAGGGGTAAAACCCTAATAAAAGGGGGAAACCCCAGGTGAGATGGTTAAGGGGCATGGCGAGAAATCATGAGGTCTGGGGTTCGATCCTACCGTCTCCTTAATTTCTCACCTGTCGCCTGTCAGTTACGGTTGATTTACCTCCCGCGTGTGTGTTGCAGGCTCGTGCGCGTGGGTTTGGGGTTTTCCTTGGTCCTGATGCCGTCCTCGTCCGGCCCATTGAACTGTGAGACGTTATGGTGTCCGGTGTCTGACCCGAATGGTTGTAGGGCAGGTTCCCAATGTATAAAAAAAAAACTCTAATAAAATAATAATCGTTAGTATATATACAACATATGGACCATGATAATATACGTACTAACAGTTTGGGACATCAATGTATATAGAAAATTTGGAAAACAAAATTACATGGCTATAAAGCTAATCTAGAAAGTTATGGTGGGGATGAGGTTGAATTTAGGGTAATTTGGTATTGGTTTTAATAAAATTACATTAAAAATATACCATGACAATGAACTTAAATCTATAAAAAGTGTATCATTATAACATTAACAATACCATAAAAAAGATATTAGTTTAATTTTATTAAAATACAAATAAAATTAATAACTTTACTAACTAAAAAAATAAGAGGTTATAATGCTAATCTAGTAAGCTACGATGGAGATGAGGTTGAATTTTGGGTAATTTGCTACTGGTTTGAATAAAATTACAAGGAAAAAAACCCATAACAATTAACTTGAATCTAGAAAAGTTTATCATTTTAACATTAATGATATCATAAAAATAAAAGATATCAGTTTGCTTTTAGTAAAATACATATAAAATTAAAGATTGTATTAATTTTATATAAATTAATTTAATTAATTAAACTAACCTCAATAATAATAAAATATTAAAATACGTGATTCTCTTTACTAATTTAGGGTATCTTTTGTTCCATATTAATATTAATGTATGTTATAATATTTGTCAACCGATGAAATCATATGCAATAAAAGTGCTTGGTTACCTGTCTTCAAAAAACCATGATAGAATCTCATTGACTTTTGAGTATGAGCTTTTGTGTTCTTCAAATCAAGTCACAAAGTCAAACATATATGTTCCTGAAAACTTCATTTTTTTTTCGAAATACAATTATTTAATTATTGATAATTTGACTATATATACATTAATCTGTAAAGATTATTGTCCACTAGCAATTTTGCATTGTGTTATCTAGAAAGTTTACTATGTGTGTATCTTTTTTGAATCTATTTCTGAGTACAAGTAGATTTTCTTCATGTGTAGGCAAGACGAGGGGAAACTGCAAATTTCCCAAGGACATGACATCTTAACCCCAATCATAAAACATAATATTAGAACTAAATCTAAATTACTGTTTCAAAATTAAGTGTTAATTAAGAAGGATATTCAAAGAAATCAGATAAAAAAGGTCCAAATATAAAGAAAATAAACGAATTTGTATCTGGATTGTGAAAAAAATCCATTCTTGTTTCCATAAAAAAATGAAATACAGAATTTGAAGTTAAATGCCAAAAAAAATCTATTGAAAACTAATTAATTACTTATAATCTCCATATGAGTTTATATATATATATATATATATATTAATTGTTAGATGTTTTACGACTTAGATTTTTCTTTGATGACTAAAACATTGATAATCATTTGAATCTTTTTCATAAACCCTAATGGTCCATGGATAATATTATTATGTGCCACATATTATTCTTTGTTTTTGAAAAATAAAACAAGGTAACTGTTTTGACATTCTGCAAATAATTTTGCACTGTATCTATTTCCTTTACCAGTCAAAATTTTCACCTGCCCCTTTCTGGAAAAATTTCCTCTCTTGGTAAAAATTAATAGCCATTGCATAAAATAATATTATACCCAACAGACAAAGGAAACTCGGATCCAACATGAAAGCCATGGAACTTTTTCCGACAAGAAACCACTGAAACTGTGGGTTCGAACACTTGAATCTCGAACACTTGATGATATAATAAAACCCAACATCTACAAATTCAAACCCAATTCAAAATTATCTTGCTTGTTCAGGTCGATAGGGTCAAACATTTGATTCGGTTTTTGTCTCTTGTCGGAAAGATCTAATTTTTCTTTTCCGAAGTTAAGGTAAAAGGTCGCACTGTTTGTTAGATCTTGAGCGTTTACCTCAAAGAAGAGAAGCATTAGATTCGTTCACAAGTACGAAGGTATGTATGTACGCTTTCCTTTGTATATATACGTGTATATACACACACACATAAGTTCAGTTGTCATTAGAGGAGCTTAAAACCAAAGCTTGTGTCTGGAAATTGACACTTTAAACCCTAAATTTCAAACCCTAAGCCCTGAATCTAGAGAAAGGGAGCGAAAGACATAACTAACACAGAAAGTTTTGAGAAACATGGGGAATTATGGAGGAGACCCACCAATTGAAGCAGATCTTGATTTGTTCCAACAGTTTGAGAGATACAAAATCATGTGTTCATTGTACCATTAACCAGTTTTGGTTACACATCTCTACCCATCTCTCTCTCTCTCTCTCTATCTCTCTCTCATCAAATCTCCATAGCTCTTCCTTGAAAGTGGGTTATATCTGGAAGAGGGTTGAGAATCTAAAAGTTCAAAAGAGAAGACCAGTTTGTACTCTATACTCTTTTTCTTTTCTTCTGCGTTTCTATTGGAGAATTGAACTTAGGGTTCTTTTCGCGTTCTGAACTCTGAAAGTTTAGTATAATTCTTGGTCATGTTTTCTTCCAATAATCACAACCATAATGAAAATGGAGTGTACCCTCTTGCTCTTTGCCTCTCTCCTTTCTCAAGCCATGATGGAAACATCTCTGCATCCTACAATCATCATCATCAACATCACCATAATCATCAGCATCATAATCAGCAAAATCTCCATCCAAATGACCCTCTCATGGCGGCTGCACATAATCACCAGTTCAGTTCTTCTATCATGCCGGAGTCTCTGATCAATTACATGGCGTTTTCGTCGAACAACGTCATGATGGAGCAGAATTTGGTGTACGGAGGGTGCTCTGATCAGGTTGAGGTTTTGAGGGGGACCAAGAAGCCTGTCAAGAAAGACCGGCACAGCAAGATTCACACGGCACAAGGTCTTAGAGACAGGAGAGTTAGGCTCTCCATCGGGATAGCTCGGCAGTTCTTCGATCTTCAGGACATGTTGGGGTTCGACAAAGCGAGCAAGACGCTCGAATGGTTGCTCAAGAAGTCGAGGAAAGCGATTAGAGAGGCTGTCGTCGTTCACACGAAGAAGGTCAACAATGGCGAATTCAACGGCGCCAACGTTGAAGATGAGTGTTATGGAAACCCTATTGGTGATAAAGGAGGAGAAGAAGAGGATGATGAGGAAGATGAATACGAAGACAAGAGCTTTGTGTCGGGCTCGAGCTCCGAATATTGTGAAGATGTCGTCTACCACGAGACCAAGAAGCCGGAGATTGGAGGTTCTGTGCGTAGAGAGAAGAGAAAGAAGACCGAATTGAGCAACATTCCGTCAAAGGGATCAAGGTCCAAATCAAGAGAAAGTGCAAAGGAGATAGCAAGAGACAAGATCGGTAGTAGAAACATCGATCACCCTGCAACTGCCTATGAGATCTCACAGTCTCAGTTCTTGGACTCGTTGAGGTCAACAAGAGTAAACGAAAGGGAAAAGAGACTGTCGACGGCAAGTGTCCATGGCCAAGACAAAACATATTCTTTATACGAGAACCGGACTGAAGAGCTCAATAGGTTCCTGGGACAGTACTCGGCCAATCAAGAATCTGTCTCCGTCAGGAGGAAGATCAAGCCATCGATGCCGTCGGTTCTGAGTTATGATCAACAAAACGGAGGAGTTACACTGAAGGATCAGAGTAATAACATCAACAACATCACCATTATTCCTCAAAATTGGGACATCTATGATCAAAACCCCTTTGTCGATCCACCCTTTTGTGCACTCTCCAACATGAATATGTCCACAGGTGCAGTTTTTTTTGCTCAAATTCGTATACTCTTCTTTTAACTCATATAGTATTTATTGTCAAGTTTCTTAATTTTTCTTGTAGGGTTGCAGTGAATGGTGAGACATATATAGCCAAGAAAATTATGCACCAGGCACCGAATTGAGACTTGTAAGCCCGAAAATTTACAGACCCCTCATCACCTATTGTGTGTATATTTGATTGCCTGTGAGTTTTATCCAACTTACTTTTGTAGTTATAGATTTATGTTATGAATCATCCCTAGGATGAAATGTTTCAAGTGCTACTATATATAAGTTATATGTAAATTACTTTACGGTATTTGGAAGATGAAGCCAACTCATGATGATCTACCTGTCTATCCAACGTATTCCAAGATTTTTCAGAATTTCAACTAAGTATTGAGCAAGAATCTTGAAGAATCTGACAAAAAGTCTCTAGGTTACATGTTTCTGCAAGTAAATTGTACTAATTCCCTGCATTATATATGATCCATGAAAACCCTTACAGGAAAGGCTTAGGGTTTTAGATATCAATAATTTGTTGGTCCTCTTCACAAACCCTAATTAAGTTGCATCAAAGACCCACAAGAGCAAACATGGTTTTGCTGAACCTGTTTGGTCTCAGAGACCACACAATATTTGATTGGGACACACAGGATTTGTTCTGGAGGATATGTATGATCTGATCCATTTGATATTTTGTGTAATAAGAGAATATTTTATTTAGGGTTTTTGTATATAGGGATTGGTTAGTTGGAGTTTCATATTATATATTATTATTAAATATATATGAAGAAACAACTGATCAATGAGTTGCAGAGTTTGCCTTCGGATGTTAGGAGATAAACATGCAAATTACTTGGGGTGTTTCTCACACATCTTTGGTCGGCATTTGGTCCGTTTGCTAAAAACTCGAACCGATTAACAACTAATCCAAACTGGTCCGAACCCGGATGGTTTTGATATGTTTATAGCCGAAAAAATTGGATACAAACCGAATCGAATATAAAAATAATCGGAAAAATCATAAAAAATTTTAAAAAAATATATTTTTTTCTGTAATTAAAAAACGAACCTGAATCTAACATCTAAGTGACGAGTTAAAAAAATGAATCCGAGCCTAAAAAACCCAACAGCTAGTTCAAACTATGGTGAGGTAAAAAAAAATGAAGCAAACTTAAAACGAGATTATTTTGGATTGAATTCTGTGCAATTTTTTTAATTTACTTCCAAAACTGACACAAAACAAAGTCGGACCAAACCAAACCGGAGCCAAAATCCCCACTCGTAGCCTGAATGACAGAACTTTTTGTACCAAAGGAGTAGAGTTTGAGGTGGGCGTGATAATTAAATAAATGGAATGGAAACCTAGTAGTAGTACAAACATGAATAAACAAAATAAATTGAACAAAATTCGGTTACATTTCGATTCTATTCCAAACTCGAACAAGACCACAAAAAGACATCAAATCATTACCCGGTTGGGCCACCCATCGTTAGAATGGCATGGTCTTGGCTGTACAAAACTCAAACCCAACTTTATCTATCTAATTTTTAGTTTGTCTGGATAATATTTTCTTGTACTCATTGAGTCAAACATGAACACCTAATCCAAATTGTTCAATTTTTTTTTTTGTTTCTGTGATGTTTTTTTCTATCTAAAACGGTTAAACCTGAAAAAATCGAATCAAATCCGGAAAAATATAATCATACCCCAACTGTTGGATAGAACTAGTTTACAACAAAACAAAACAAAGGAGGGTATGAACATTGATAATTTTTATTTTGAGAATTAAGTTTTAGTTTTTGGATTTTGGTTTTTAGTATATTTTTTGAGTTTTTGAAATCCAAAAACCAAAAAAATAACCAAAAAACTTAATACAGATAAACAATATTGTTGTTGCTTCTCTTTTAACTCATTGGTCGGTCCCCATGTAATAAGAATTCACTAATTAAATGGCCCTTGTTTGAAGTTCATGTATGCAGAACGTATCCATGTACCCTATACCCCCGATCTAGATCTAGGTTAGTACTTAGTAGTGATCGGGTCACGTGTTCCGTATCATACCATTAGTCCTAATTATTTAAATTAATTTATACAAATTTTATAAAAATTAATAGTAATTTTAATCGGTAAAACCAAACTACTGCATGCCCTCTATTTTTCTCGTGGTAAACTCTATTTTCTCGAATATATGTAAGTGTGTGTATGTACGTATATGCGTTTCACATTGCAGCCTATGAGAAAACCAATAAAATTCGATGTTCAAACCATTGTGTGGTACATTCTTGCAACACTAATAACCAAAGCAAATATGTTTAGTTTCCGTATGGGTTTTGTTGGGACAGAGCCCCATGCTGCGTTAATTTAATGTCATATTATTTGATACGTGATGAATCGATCCATTGTATCTTTGAAAAAAACAAAAAGCGTTAGACGAACCACGAAATAACCTAACTATTCAAATTCTCAACAAATCATGTTACCAATACTCCCAACACACAGAAAAATCCCCAAAAAAAAAAAAATTATTTTCAGAAAATTATAAAACATAGTGTAGACATATAGTATTCGGAAATATGGCCCAATAACATAATATCATCAATCATTGCATAAGCTAGAAAATTACCCTAGTCGTTGATTTCATCATCGGTAAAAAAAAAGGGGGGGTTATAGATCGTTGCAAAGATGACGCAGATCAGAAACTATTGAAGCTATAATTATCAAACGAAGAGAAAACAAATAAAAAAAAGGGTTAGAACAATTAAAAACACATTGTTCTATATACTTTGGGGTATACACGAATCATCATATGCCTAAAAATTAGAGGTTTGTGCGGGGAGAACCAAAAGATTCATGAGAAGAACCGAATCAGCAAAACATATAAGAATACACGATATATATATATATATATATTATGTCTGTATTTGTATGTTTTATAATGCATTTTCAGACCAAAAATCTAATAAAACAACAAAATTCAAGAGGAGAGAGAGAGACGAGAATACCTTGAACACTTCTTTATCTTTTTTTTTTTCAGGACAGTAATCTCTACAGAAGCATTTGATGTAGAAGAAAAATATATAAACCCTAAACGAGAAAATATAAGGTATAAGGAAAAGGGGAAAAGGTAAAGTAAAAGGGTGGAGAGAACGCGACTCTAGTCTAGTGAAGTGAAGGAACTTGGACCGAAATTGTCCAAAAACATTATTATTTATCATTTCATTATCTCTTTGCCTTTAATTTTTGGTGTGTTTTTTTTTTCTCTTTATTCCTTTTCATATATATTTTTTTAAATCAATCTCTTTTCTGAATATTATTTTTTTTAGCTTAAGCATGGCTTCTTCCAATTTGCCTACGATAAGTCTGATTTTAGTAGGACATTTTAATGATCTAATTAGATCCGAGGCATGAAGAGAAAATGGATATTGTTTTTATAAAAATACAGGATAATTTCTTAATTTTTTATATAATATTAAACGAATTATTATAGTAAACCTATTAAGAAATGCCGAATCACATACATGAATTTCCAAAAGAATAACGGTTTTTCCTATGAAAAAGCATTGACATAATAACTTATTACCATGTATTATATAGATATATTGTCAATATCAGAGATTCATATATATCTCTAATAATTGGTTTTTACCAAAAAAGTTTTAGAAAACAATTTTAAGTTTTTTTTTATGGGAAATTAACATTTCGAAAGGGAAGAGAAATAAATAGAATTTTCAGAAATTTGTATTTTAGAAATAGTTTTTATAAAAAGTTTTATTTTATTATTATAATTAAATTATGAAAAGTGTCCGTCTTTTAGTTATATTTTCGTTCGATCATTTCATTATTTTTCGTAAAATTAAAATCATTTGTTTTTAAATCCGTATCAATTTTTGTTTTATGTATTATTGAAAACCTTTATTTCATAAACGAATATCATTACAGTTTCATATCTGTGATTATTTTCGTATTCCAAATTAATTAGTTTGACTTTAAAAGTATTATATTTGATACAAACTTGATTTAAATACAATTATATATTATTAATTCCGTTTAACTATAATTATATACTATTCGACGCGTTTAGTTATTTATATTTATTTTCGTTGCTAATTATGATATTATATTTATATATGAGCAATTTTGAATCCCAACAAACAAAAGAATACTTTAACCAATAAAATCGATTAGGTTTTTAGCTTTTTCAAAACAGGGAATGTATTAACGGTTCATAACTATATATATATATATATATATATATATGTAGACTAGGTCAGTTCAATTAGCTAAGTACATAAAAAGTACAATATTAAATTGCAAAAAATTGTCAAACTCTGATTTTGGCAAAGGATGAAAACTGACTTCATTAGCTAATATAAATATTCATTCGTCAGATCAGATCCCTCTGAAATCCCCCGAAATAGCTGAAGCTATAAATATTGGAAAAAGTAATAAAATCTAATTTAATATTATCTGTGAGATACTTGTGGTACTACTACTTCATTTTTTATTCTTTAGGGCTTACAGAATATTAAAAATAAAAAATTAATTTTTATTTAGAAAAACTCTTGCCATCATTTTTTTAGTTTAGCGACAAAGAGAGAAAAAAAAATAAATAGAGAAAGTTTTATGAATACGTTACACGATCCTATTGGTTATTAGAGATTAAAATCAATAAGATTATTTTAAATTCATGTTGGAAAAAATCCTTTCTTTATCTTCCATTTGGTGTAAAAAAATTATCATGTTTGTGTTTTTAGACATTGTCATGCCTAGTAATATATATATATTAAACTCTATTATGATGTTTTATTCTAAATTAATATATCAATTTAAACACTACTATTATATTTTGTTCTAAATTAATACATCAAATATTTTTTTATAACGATACATATATAAACTATAATAAAATTTTAATTAAAAATACAAACTTTAGAAATTTTAAACGATTTACATTCCACCATTAATATAATGTGAATATCGTCCAATTCTTTCATAAGAATTTGATATGGTTAAACATAAATATAACATATGACATCTACAACTAGCTATGTCATTTATCTATCGATCAACAATATATCATCCAATCTTACTGGAAAATAAAAAAATGTGTATGATATACTAGTGATATATGTAATATCGTTTTCATAAAAAAAAATCTAATATCGTGGTTATTATCATTTCATGTTTTTCTTAATCATAGAAGAAATTCGAATATGGATTCACACATTAATTGGTGTATATGAATTGGTTAAAATTATAAAGTTTTTTATTATTTTATTTTAAAAAATTATACTTTATATAAGAAAGAAATATAATATATTTAATTTAGAATGAAACAACAATTTTAGTGATGTTTATAAGACTTCTATTAATACGTTTTTGTTTTTATAATTTGAAAACTCACCGGATTTTTGTCCAACTATATCTTTTAGAAGATCGGATAAGCCCCATATGAATGAGTTTTTCCAGGTGAAAATTCAAATCCAGATCAGAAAAAAACTTTGTTCTCTTCTTCTTTACCGGTTGAGCTATCCAATCTTAAGTACTCCCATTAATACGTTACAAATCACTACTAGAAAGTATCGATCAAAGGAAAAATGTAGGCCATAACTAATAGTCACTACTACGAAAATTAATATGTTGAAATATATAAATTATAATTAATATATTTATTTACTTATGTTTTGCTAAAATAGAACTAATATATTTATTTATGAGTATTGAAAATTATCTATACAGCTAAAAATAGGCTTAACTTCACCAAGATTAAAGACAAGTCCATAATTCTAAATGGGCCTGAATTTGGGCTTATATATTAATGGATCTTATTATAATTTACTTCGTCCGAGTTATTACAATTTATATATTTACTCCTCCGAATTGGGCTTTTCGTATACAGATTTTCCAGTTGCGTTTTCTTGCTCAGAAAGTCGCCGAGAAAGTTAACAGAGAGAACCAGGAAGGAGCAGGTGAAGAGGGAGACAACGAGAGAAAATGGAATCGTCGAAGAAGATAGCTCACGAGATCGGAGGTGTCAAGAACGACGCACTTCGGTTTGGTCTCCATGGCGTTAAGAGCGATATCGTTGGATCTCACCCGCTCGAATCCGCCTACGAATCTGTAACAATGCCGTATCTCTTTTTCTATTTATGTTATGTCTTAGTCGATATTGGTCCTGCTTGGATTTCGGATGGAAATCTGTTTGGTTCTAGGGAAAGCGTTCCGAGAAAGAAAAAAAAAAGAGGGGAGGGGAATGAGCAAAGAAGTAATTTAGGGCTTTGCTAGCAATCACGTATAGTCAATCGTCTATTCAGTTTATTTTTTCCTGTGTTAGGAATTTGAGTTTTTATTTGAGAAACTAGTAATTGGGGTTGTGTTACTGAGATTTCTCTGTTACTGTAAATTGGGGTTTTTGGTGCTCTCTACATTTCTATCTTTTGGATTCATTGGGTTTTTTTTTTGGGTTTAGGAAAAGAGGGTGCAAGAGGAGATGAGAAGGAAAATCATAACGAATACTTATGGGGCTGCTCTTCCATTGAAGATGGATCTGGACAGGCAAATTTTTTCCCGGTATGGTAGCTGAATTTGTAGTATTGTGAAGCAAGCGCTCGAGTTTATTAGATATCAGGAATCGAGAGAATGCTGTGGATTGCGATATGGTAGCTATCTATGTGATCAGGACAGATGCTGTTCATAACTCTTAGTATCGAACTCTATGAAACTTATACAATGATGTCCGTATATAGGTGTTATTATTGGGCACATGTAAATGGGAAGAAACCATGATTGCATGAATTAGTAGTATGTATTTATCTGGATTGTTCTTGTTGAATGCCCATTTGTTTCCTGGTCTTGAATCTTGATGCGCATGAGACTACATAGGGTTTGAAGTGGTCTCATCTCATGCATCGACCAGATGATTCTTTGGTGTTAATTTCATATCATCATGACATGAACTTTGGGTTTCTCATATGTCTTTTTTCTTTCGGGACTATTCAGATTTCAGAGGCCTCCTGGTCCAATTCCATCTTCGATGCTCGGTTTGGAAGTCTACACAGGGGCATTAGATGATTTTGGTTTTGAGGATTACTTGAACGGTAATTGTTTCCCTACTTTATGACGTTTATCTTCCAACTACGTTGAGTGGTCCGAACGCTACACTACTAATTTACTAAACACTAAAACATCAGTGAGTCCCAGATTTTATAGAAACCATTTGACAAAAGATATCTAGTTTCCTGCAACCAAAATACTGGATCTTTTTATAATTTCACCACGAGGCATATAATCCATTTACATGCGCTTCTTCCTCTGTTGATTGTGCTGTTCTTGACAAAGTTTCAGACTGTTCCTCGGCGGATTAACTAGCAAGTATGAAAATGGGTTTTAGGTCTTTTGAGTTCAATGAATTTCGTTTTTTCTTTCTTAATAGTGCTTTCCGTTCTGCAGATCCTCGTGAATCTGAAACGTTGAAGCCTGTAGATCTCCATCACGGGATGGAAGTTCGCCTCGGCCTCTCGAAGGGTCCAGTCTGCCCGAGTTTCGTATAGCCGAATAACAGTTTCATATATGGTGGTGAAAATGAAACAACATTCACCCTTAAGGTGGTGTGGGCGTTTGTTCTGTCTTTGCTTAGAATCCAGAATCAAGTTCACGGAGTGTCTTATCTGAATTGGTATTTGATCTTCTCTCTTATGGCCGTCGTCATTCTCCCTGTCGTTCCCAAGTCTTATTTCGATACGGACCGAACATGTTTCAGGAAGTGTCTCCCAACCTCTCTTTTCCGTATGATAATGTAATTGGTGACTGTTTTACGTCGGTGAATAATGTATTTATGTCATAGATCTCATTAAATTCGTATATTTTGTGGAATTTTCCATATAACTTTTGATAACATTTGAGTGTTTAAAAAACTTTTTTTTTCCTCAAACCAACATTGGTCTAATAGGAAATGGCCTCTATCAACGATAAGACATACGTATAGCTTAAAATACATCTATTAGTGTAAATATATTAAATATTTTTTTAAAAGTTTTGTAAAAAAATTAGTACAGAATACATTGTATGTACTATGTATGGATTCGGTTGTGTCGTGGTCGTGGATATGTTAACTAAAAACATATACCATAATAATAAAGAATACAAAAAAATAGACGATAGTTAATATTATTTTAGTTATACCCGCAAGGAAAAGCTAAGGCAGAAAACGGGAACGGTCTCGGCTTCCCCAACTACTCTGCGACTGAGTTCTGTCGAAAAACTCGGAACTAAAGTCCTGACTGCCGAAAGCCATTCTCTGAAACATCCTTATCTGCTCAGACTGCTGTCTGGAGTCGAACACTTGGCTTTGTCCCGGTTTCATCCCGTTCGTTATGTCTTCCTTCGCTTCTTCCAGTGTATCCAATGCTCTCACTACCTGAGAACCATGAACTCCAGAGATTTCGTATCCAGAACGAATGGAAAAACTCTCGGGCTATCCGCCCAAATCCAGATGTGAATCGAGCGTTTTACCTGACTCATTCTCGGTCTTTTTGCACCCGAGTGGCGAACGCAAGCTGCAGCGGCTTCGATCATCCTCAACATTTCTCCGGGTAAGTAGTTGTTTCCGAGCTTTGGGTCGACCAGTTCTTCGAAATCTTCGCGCTCGATGGCCTCGGTCAGCAAGGGTCTAGCCTGAGAATTTGAGACACCAGTTAACAAAGGTAGGGTTTATGTTTAAACTGAAACGTTCCGATAGATTCCCAATAAGCTTCGCATACAAGCGTCGGGAGAAACGAGAAGAGGCTCGAGCAAATGGCAGCAGTAGAGACGTCCGACAAGGCTACCGAGGAGCAGAGGATCACGGCTTAAGGCCGAGAGGTTTAGGGTTTAGTTTTGAGTTTTGTCATCTTGGGAATAGCTGGGCCTAGGGCGGTGTTAGAGCCCTAGGGTTCGGTTGCTAATTAGGGCCGTGGCACCCAGAATCACGGAACCCGAGCCGGGTGTGCGTCGGCCAACTACCGTAGCTGTGGGTTCGGGTTCGGGTTCCATCGTCGGTTTGGGTATCCGACCATCACAAGACCGAGAGCAAGTACCGGTGACCCTAAAACTCGAGGGAGCGAGGCCGAGGCGGGATGGCCCAAAAATCTCGGGTACTGCCCGTGTCCACCCCTAGTTGCTATCTCGGCCAGCTGCCTATGTGTGTACATGCCTCCATAAGACGAGAACTTAACGGAATAAAAGTATCAAGAGAGATTTGACTAAAAAATTGATCTCGAATTGAGTTCAACGGATCTCCGTAATCCGTAAGATCGGGAAAATGCTTCGACAGATCCCTAGGGTCTGGTCTATCAAGTTCCCGACAACGTCGGATCATTTCTTGAAAATTTTCAGAGCAAAGAGAACTGATCTTGTGGATGGTAAGAGCGTAGTGTAATGAACTTTACCCATTCGACAAGGCTTTCATCGCCGAGTGGCTGAGACGCATCGACGGGCTTGCGAGCCGTTATGAGCTCCAGAAGAACTACACCGAAGGAGTAGACGTCGGATTTCTCAGTCAGCTTCCCGCTCGTTGCATATTCCGGAGCCATATACCTGTAAAAGTTAACAGAAGTATGGTTCTGTAATAACTGATTATGCACACAGCTTTTGGAATCAACTTCCAAGAATATGAATCCATACCCGAAAGTTCCCATTACGCGTGTGGAGACATGCGTATTCGAATCTAGTTCCTGAGCTATTTTCGCAAGCCCGAAATCTGCAACCTGTGGAGGAATGACCGTTTAAAAGAACCTCTTTAGAATGAAAACCACAGATACCTGCAGTGATTGTAGGATAGACGTACCCGGGCTTCAAAGTTGTTGTCGAGAAGTATGTTGGACGATTTAATATCACGGTGAATAATGCGAGGATGACCTGCAAGAACGGAAAAAATTTCAGACAACCACAATAAAGAAAGACGAAATCGAGATTGTGAAACAGCAGAACTTACAGTCTTCATGTAGGTAAGCGATTCCACGAGCTGCACCAGCAGCAACCTTTACCCGAGTTTCCCAAGCCATAACCGGCCTTCCTTCAGCTGCGAAAAAAAGAGACCCGGGGATCGAGATTTTTTCAAAAGATGGGAACTTTCATGGCCTACAGGTTTCTAGTAACGGAATACAAAAGAAAAGTTCAAATCTTTAGAGCATGTCCCTACCGTGGAGATGGTAATGGAGGGTGTTATTAGGCACATAATCATAAACAAGCAACCTCTGGTGATCCGAGATACAATAGCCGACGAGTGTAACCAAATGCCGGTGATGAACTCGAGTTATGATCTCGACTTCGGCTCTGAATTCCCGCTCTCCTTGACTACCGCCAATCTTCAACTGTTTAACGGCGACTTCCCTTCCGTCTCCAAGAACGCCTTTATATACACAACCGAATCCTCCTTCACCTAAAAGGTTCCGTTCCGAGAACCCATTGGTAGCCTTAGCGAGTTCATCATAAGAGAACCATGATCTCGGATTGCTAATCACACCAGACTCGGAAGGAGAATACATGTAATCGCTACCGGATGGACTTCTCGCTTTAGGAAGAGATGAATGGGGATTGAAAAACGCTACATCTGTTAAACACGAGTTTCCAGACCGACGATCAATCAGTAACTAATAAGCAAATTCTCAATGTGCTCGTTCATCCGTTCGGTGATCATGTATTGTATGATTCCCTACTTTCTTAGCTTTATCCGATATTCAATGAATATCGATCAAGAGTCAAGACCCTGCTTTTAAAACCGCATGCGCGATCACGGGTATCGTATAGAAAGAGCGATTAAACAATGTCTACACTACCCTAGACCGAAACTGTAACCGCGATATTGCAGAAGCAAAACCAAACAAGACCCAAATTGTGATCAGAACCAAGTTGCAACAAATCCAAAAACATCATCAGAATGAAGGAATCATCAGACACTGACGAAAGTTTCATGCTTTAAGTTCTAAGACTAACCCAACACTCAATATACATTTCTCAGCAGTTCCATACATCAACAGTTCCGAAGCCAAGGCCGTAGAAAATGTTCATTGTACTCTGAATTTGAAGTATCTCAGCATATTCAGACATTCTAGGCAACAAGTAGAAGTGTTGGAACACAGAATCTAAGCTTGAAATCTGAGATGAATCCAAAGTGTTGTTACCTGAGCCTTGAGGAGAAGAATAAGAAGAAGGAAGAGTATATCCTATGAAAGTTCCGGGGTCCTTTCTCTTTCGCCTCCGAGAGATCCAGACGGCCAACACTAGAAGGCTGAGAACTACCAGTCCGACCACTACGCCGACAGCCACGGCGCCACCGGTGTCAAAACCGCGGGAAGAGCTGGACTCTGTCCTGTTCCCTGCATTCGTGGCTCGGTCGGTCGGTTTTGCGGTGGGTTTCTCCTTCGGAATCTCAGGTAAAGGAGTAGGAGGAGCAGGAGGAGAAGGATCTGTCGGAACGGAAGCCGGCGGAGGAGCTGTAGTTGTCGCCGGAGGCCTGTCGGAGCGAGGAGGTGTTGCCGCCGGAGGCGACGGAGAGGGTTTCGGCGGCGGGGATTTCTCTGCCGGAGGTGGACGAGGAGGTGTGGCTGCCGGAGGAGGAGGAGGAGGGATATCTTGCGGTGGAGCAGGTGGTGTCGCCGCCGGAGTCGACGGGGAGGGTTGGGGAGGAGGGGAAGAAACCACCACCGGAGGAGGCGGAGGAGAGACCGCAATGGCAGGAGGAGGAGAGGATACGGCGGGAGGAGACGGCGGTGGAGAGGGAGTCGGCGGCGGAAGCGGCGGGGAGGGAGGAGGGGCAGCGGGAGTGGCCGGAGGCGGGGCGGAAGGAGTGGTTGGCTGAATATTCGACGGCGGAGGAGCGGTGGATGAAGAATTCGACGGCGGAGAAGAACCCGCCGACGGTGGTGGAGACAGAAGCGGCAGAGTAGGAGGAATCAAACTCATCCTCACTGAAACTGTACTAAGAATCTAACTGAAAAAAAGTTTCCTCTGAGCTATGCTTCCATGTCCGACGCAACAAGATGAACAAACCCCAGAATTGGTGACGTCATCCTTCGTCTCCAAGCTTATGAACAGGAAGAACTCTGAATGCACCGAATCCCGAACGGCGATGCAGAACAAAGCCCTAATTCAGAAAAAGGGGGCTAAAACACATTCCCTGATATCTATATTCCAAAATCTTCAACAATCAACCCTAGAAATTGAAAACCCAGATCGTAAAGCTGAAAATTTTCAACCAAAAACCAACTCTGGAGTGTGCAAATGGACCTGCGAACAGAAACAGAGCAACGCCCAGATAAAGAAACAGTAAAATTCTTCGACAGCAAACACAAAGGCTATAAATTGGAATCAGAAGAAGGAATTTGAGCACAAAAAAAAAGAGGCTAGTGGGATGCCATGGTTAAGGAAGATGAAAAAGAGAGGGAATGTGGTCGAACTGTAGAGCGTGATTCTTGCAAAAAGAACGTGGAGACCACTAGTGTTCAGACACAGCGAAACACACGGAGCTGAGAGTCTTCTCTTTTGACTTTAGCTTTTTTTTTCCACTAATGAATCAAATAACCAATCATTCCGTATTTAAATGAAATTATCTTCGGGTTTATTGATTAAATTATGAAGATAGGTGTGAAATCGGCAATTATATTACATGCATTTTTATTCATTGGAAGCTTGAACTTTGATCTCAACCTTATTTTCATCATCTTCAACAACACGAATTTGATTCTACATTCCCTATAAAGGCAACAACTTTTAAGCCGTTGCTCATTAAAAACAAAAATACTTTTTTTTTACAGAAAACAGCTAAAAGAGAAAAGTTTGCATCTTTTCCTTTTAAATACAAAAAAAAGGTAGGCTTTTTCCATTAAAACTAGAAATATTTTTTAAAAATGAATTAAAAAAAGATGAGTTTCCGTGGAAAAAGAAGAAGGAAATAAACAATATATGGTCATGTGCGTGCTAATCATGGCGATCGTTGAACCTCGTGCGCATGTTTGCTCCTAAAATTCCTCCTTGTACACTGACAAAGGCATATACACACATATGTACCCACAATCATGCACTCATATATATATATATATACATGCATATTTTGTTGGATAATAACATTAATAGTCACGATCTTTCAAAAAACTTTTATATAAGATCAGCAATTTTATAATTTTTTATATAAAATAATAAATTTTATAAATCTTTTCATATTCCCACAAATTTATTAATTTTATGAATTTTTAAATTTCCATATAAAAACATAATTTTTTGTAAAAATATTATAAAATTAATTTATATATAAATTATGAAATTTATAATTTTATTTTAGATTTTTTTAAATTCTTATTTTTTTAGACTATTTTTTTCTAGTTTGTTCGTCAAATATGTGTCACTTTAAATTGTGTAAATTCGAAATCAAAAGAAAATGAAATAAGCAACACACACAAATGATAGTGAAAATAGATAAACCCTAGTTGAAAGAATATTAATGTGCTTTAAATTATGTATCCGTATGCATGAAATATACACACACACATCTAAAATCCAATCATAATTAGTTTAAGGGTCAACTCTAATCACAAAACCCATCCCGTTTCCATGTTGTGTTTTGTTTTATAGGTTAAACAAATGTTCCTTTTGTGCATGCTTTTTGTGGGAATAACAACAACGACTACATATGATGAATAAGTGTTTCTTTAATGTTTTTTAGTTGTATATTTGTATAGACTACCGTTTTTTAAAAATGAATTATGCTAGTATTTCAATAAACAATATTTGGATCGAATTTCATAGAATTACTTTTTCAAAACCAAATTTGAAAAACAAAAATCAAGTCAGAATCAGAATTTACATAAAAAATAAACCGAATTTTATGTTTTACATAAATAAAATAAGTCGAAGGATCACTTTGGTATTTCTGACCGATGATTTAGGCTATTAATGGTGATTGTTTTATTGTGAATTTCTTACCTTTTGGTTTCTGGTTTTAGATTTTTATAATATTTATAAATCCAAAAAATAGAATTTTTGGTTTTTAATTCATTTTTTATTAAATTAGTTTTTCAAGTTTTTAATAAAACTAAATTCAAAAAATCTTTATTTTTAACTTTCATTATATTCTAAAAACTCCTTCGATTCAACCCCTTATTGAATTTTATTACCCACCACAAATTACAATCTTTAGCATATCGATTTATTGATCTCACCTGCACTGACAACACGCAAAACCCTAACTTGTGATGCAAGTTCCGTTCTATTTAAGGTTCCTTCACACGACTTTGGGGATCCTGGACAGAGATTCTTGGATCTTCTCCTCACGGAAGGATAAATCTACCAATTCGCCCTGTAAATACTTCTCGTATGATGACAGATCGAAGTGACCGTGGCCGCACATTGCCATCAGAATCACTTTGTCTTCTCCAGCTTCTCTGCAGCGCAGAGCCTCTCGAATGGTGGCAGCAATGGCGTGAGTCGGTTCTGGAGCTGGTATTATCCCTTCTGTCCTCGCAAACCGAATGGCTCCTGCATCATCCAGAAGATTTCGAGAAGATGGGATGGGTCGAAGAAAAGATTCGATCTTTACACCAGATTGAATATGTGAAGAAAGAAGAACCTTGAAAGCACTCTGTTTGAGGAATTGAAATGGCTTCCATGAAACCCTGTTCATAAACATGTGAGATCAATGGTGCCATCCCGTGGTATCGTAATCCACCTGCCACGCCAGAGACAGGAGAAAAAAGCAGCCCAAGAAGTGAAAACCTTGAACTTGGTAAAAAAATTCTAGAACAAACATGAAACATGGAGTTGTGCACAATTGTCAGACAAGACATTTCTGTACAACCGTTTGTTCCGTGAAATTTTCACAAAGTTCGTGATTTTCTATATGTGTAAGATTAGTTTTACCGGCGTGGATAGGGTCGGGAATAAAGTCGTGTCCCAGTGTATGCATCTTCATCAATGGAGTCATCCCGGCTGTATCACCGAAATCATAAGCATAAACCCCTTTTGTCAAGGAAGGACAAGCCGTAGGCTCAACCGCCCTTATAACAGGATTGATTTTCCCCTTTAGTTTCTCCCGAATAAACGGGAAACTTAAGCCAGCGAAATTTGACCCTCCGCCCGTGCAACCGATGATCACATCGGGCATTTCACCGAAACCCTCCATTTGTTGAAGGCATTCCTCCCCGATAACGGTCTGGTGGAGCAAAACATGGTTCAGGACACTTCCTAGGCAGTATTTGGTGTCCTCATTGGCTGCTGCAACTTCAACCGCTTCTGAAATTGCGATGCCTAAACTTCCCGGGCTTAATGGGTCGGCTTGGAGGATTCTCCTCCCTGTCTCGGTGAGATCGGATGGAGATGGATGCACCTTTGCCCCCCAAGTTTGCATCATTAGCCGACGATATGGTTTTTGATGGTACGAATTGGCGACTTGCCACACCTGCAAACAATCCATCAGGGTCAGAAATAGAATATAATTAAACGAAATGACAAGAATTACGGAATAATGTATCGAGTTTTCTCTGAAACGAAATGCCCACATCGGTTATTACCTCTAATAATGTTCGTGCATGTCTCTAATATGAAACAAACGATTCAAACAAGGATCGGTCTTGAATTTGATAGCCATAACACAGCAAGAAATCTTTGTACTTACTTCGCATTCAAGGCCGAACAAACTAGAGGCAAAGGCCAAAGAACTGCCCCATTGACCGGCACCCGTTTCCGTCACGAGATTCTTGACGCCTGCTTTCGCATTGTAGTAAGCCTGCGGAACGGCTGTGTTGGGTTTGTGAGAGCCAGCCGGGCTAACACCTTCGTACTTGTAATAAATTCGGGCAGGTGTATCAAGAAGCTTCTCCAGTCTCTTAGCTCTAAATCCAGCAAACCGAAAGACCAAGGATTAATGGGAATTAAACAAACCCTAAAGGGCCTTTTTCTTTTCGGTTTCTGAAAGAACCTGATCAGAGGGGTTGGTCGCCAAAGCTTATAGATGTCAAGAACCTCCTCTGGAATTTGGATAAACCGTTCCTCAGTTGCTTCCTGTCTGATCAGCTCGGCGGGGAAAAGGGTAGCCAAATCTTCGGGCTTGACGGGTTCGAACGTTTTCGGATGCAACGGCGGAGGAGGTTTCACCGGAAGATCGGCAACGAGATTGTACCATTTATTGGGAATTTCCGCAAACGGTTTGTGATCGTATCCCGAAGACGCATTTGCTCTTACACCGAACCCTTTTGAGAATCTAGTGTGATCTGGATTTCTTTTCTCGGCCAAACAGCTAAAGCCCTGCCCTTCTCCTGAAGAAAACAAGTAAAACGCGTCGATGTCAAGACATAACGCACAAAATCTAAAGCTCTGGAAATCGCAAAAGGTTCGAGCTTTTAGCTGCAAGGGTGAGACAAGTGAAGTAATCGTGGAACAATTGAAGATTATAAATGCGTCTGGTTCGGACAAGTTTCAGAAGCAACAGAGAGGACAGTGACACATAAATCCAACAGAACATCGAGAACAGTATAGGAAAATGGATAAAGACCCAGAAAGAAAGATGAAAATTTTGAAGTATGATAGGCAAGAAACAGTTCATTACCAGTGAAGAAAACCCTAGACAAGGTTGAATTCGCTGCTGGGTTTGCAGGTAAAAGCAAGTGACACGCCATTTTCTCTCAGACTGCAGGAGCAAATTAGGGAATTAGGATTCTGAGAGATATATATCAAAAGAAAGAAATAGGATTCTGAGCAGCTGTCGTCAAGCCTTTGACTTTGAGTCTCTGAGGGTCATGAGAGAGACACGTAAATAGTCGAGTAGGGGTGGGTGCTTCGGTAAACGGTTTGGGGTTCGGGTTCGGGACGAAATTAATCGGTTCGGTTCTTTCGGTTTTACAAAAATAGGTACCAATCAGGTTTTTTATTGTATTCGGTTCGGTTCGGTTTCGGTATCGGTTCGGTTCGATTCCAGATTTTATTAAAAAAATGATAGATTTCCTTTAAAAATATTCGATTTTTCGGGATTTTAAAAGTTCGTTTCGGTTCCGGAAAAATTCGGTTCTCTAAAAATGGTACAGTTCAGGAAATAACAGCGGTTTCGGATCGGGAAAAATACCGTTTTAACAGTTCGGTTCGATCCGGTTTCAAAGAATCGAACCGTAACGCCCAGCCCTAATCGAGAGTATGGTTTTTAAATTGGCAATATATATTAAAGAAAAGCGATTGCCTGCTCCCAACGGCATCAATAGAATATCTTCAGAAAATGCCAAGTTTCATTTACTCACACACACACACACACACACACACGCACATATATATATATATATATTATACCTTAAAAAAATTTAACTTCGAGAAAATTAAAAAGTTTTGAAAATTTATGTAAAATTAATTAAAAAGGAATTAATAATTTTTCCTAATGGAGAATTCGAGTTTGCTTAATGGATTTAATTCAAATGAACCGGTTGTTGGTTTAGTTATCGAATACAAAAACATATATATCCAACAGAAAAACAGAATATGATATAATTTTTTCAACTATTCTATGAGTAATTTCGTGTGTGTAAAAAAATATACATCATTTGGATACAAAAGTTTCAAATTTGATTAATTTACTTTTAGAAAATATTACAAAAAGCAATCCAAATAAATTAGTTTTCGTTTGCTTGGTAGGTTTTATGAACAAGATATGATTTTTGTCGATTTTAGATATAAATACTTTTACCACCAACTGTTTTGGGACATGTATCAGATTTTTTATAAAAAAAAAAATCGGATAAAAAGGAAAAAAATATGAATGCAAAAGAAATATAATTGAAACGTATAGAATAAAAGATATCGATACAAAATTTTTTAAAAGAAAAATCCATGAACCATCAGCATAATTCACTAATTAAACAATTAAAAAAAACAAATTCAAACTCTCAAAATTTTTCTCTTTCACAATCTTCCATTAATTCTTTTATAAAAGTAAAGATAAAACATATAAAAAATTTAAAATGGTACAAAAAAAAATTCAAACTTTTTGCTAGATAAATTTATTTTAAAATTTGCAAAATATATCACTATAATTGCTAAATTTATAAAATGTATCATTATAATTTCTAAACATATTAATTAGTATTAGAAAAAAATTCGACTTGATTAAATATCAGTTTGAGAATTATAATAACATATATTTATTGATTGGTAATTATAATAATATATTTTGTAAGTTTAGAAATAATTTTGTTAGGTAAAAAGTTTAGAAATCTATTTTATAACATTTTATAAATTTTATCCTTAAATTAAATAAAATAAAATAAAAACTCACAATGGTTAGAGAACTAGTGAACTATATACATCCTTTTCTACCAATAAAAAATATGAAATTATTTTCTTCATTTTCGCCAATTGGAAATTTGCATCAAACCCTTTATTTCCACCAAATGTTTTTCGCAAGTAGCCACCATATTTGACATTTTGTAACCTCAATTTTAACATCAACCTAACGAAACGTCCTTTAATTTGAACAAACTCGTACGTATTATACGTAACTTCCTATTAAATATGATTATAAAAAAAAAAACTTCCTATTAAATATAAAATGTTGGTGGAAATATCTACACCTAATTCATGCGCCATCTACCAACCAAATTGGATCGTTATTAGATCATAACAAATATTTAATTATTTTTAAAAAATTAGAATCGAATTTGTAGATTGATTTCTTTTAAATAAAAGACTACGGAATCTCGAGACACAAAAAAAAAGCTGGAATCTGAGGGGAAAGAAAATAAATGGTGATTTATTTATTTTTGTTGTTGACTTGATTGCACCACCCATAATATCCGAATTGGTTTATTTATATATTTAGATGTGCAATTTGCAATAAGATATACTGATAAAATATCTTGTTATTTCATTTTTTAGTATATAGATAAATGAAACAGAAAGTTCTATCTTGAATATTCTATATTAATATATTTTTATTATGTAGTAAACGTATATAAAAAAGTGATACACAAAATCTTTTTTGTTCTAAGATTATATTTTTCAACTCCTAGCTCTTATATTGTCAAAATAAAAGAAAGCTTTCTTGTATGCCACACATCAGTTATTGGACCTTTTAAATATTTCACTATCATACTTATTGCCTTCTTCACCTCCACATGTTTTGAAATTATCAGATTTTGTTTTTATAAATTCTTTATGTTTTTAGATTTTTTTGAATTTCTTGGAAAAATCTTATTTGGCGATTAGCCTCAATAAAACAAACAAAATAAAAAAAAAAGCTTGAATATCATCATAAAATTCAAAAAATTGTTTTCAACATTACTGAATTCTCATTGGATTTTTTAGTTCTTGGTTTGATAATCTGAAATTCTGAATTGTACTTGATTTAAATTTTTTATGATTATACTAAAGGTTTACTTTTCTTCGACCGACCACACTATTCTTTGATACACCATATAAAATAATACAAGGGAACTAGGAATATACACTTTTATTCCTAGATATATGTCCAAACATTAATACGTTTTATATCCTCTAAATCATAAAAGATATGCAATTAAATCAAATTATACATCTAATAATATGCAAAGTATAAGTTCAAACGTTGTGTAAGAGAAACAATACTAAGAAGAGGGGAGATTCGAAAGCCAAGGAAGCAGACGTTCATGGACAAGGTCCGGACGGTCATCTTGCGGACAGTGCCCCACGCCTTCTAAAACGTAGAGGCTAAAGTTCGGCAACTGACCTGGTAAGGACGAGAAGTACTTTCCGACAGGACCATCGAGCGGTGTGAGCGAGTCTTTGTCGCCCCAGAGGACTAAAACCGGTATGGTTAGATTCGGTATCAGCTTAACCGGGTTTGGACCCGGTGGACCGGTCAAGATCGATACGAATGCATCCAATGCACCCTCTCTGTTTGCTGGTTCCGCGATTATCTGAAAATGACGAGAGAATCCCGAAACCGTTATTCAATCTTCGGATATACAATTTAGAGATGGGCACATGTCGGGTATCCATATCTATACCCAAAGGCCGGCCTTAGATAACATAACGATTAATATGTGAATCATTGTAATAAGGGAATACCTACCTCTACCAAGGTGTCATCCACATTCTCCTTGTTCCCATAGACATTCATCAAGATATTTTTCAGATTCTCCCTGCATTATTCATGATGAAGTTCATGCATTGTATTACTTCAGATACAAAAGAGTAAATAAATTTGTAGATGGATTGAAATTGATAATGAGTATAAATGCCTGTCTTTAACACGGTTGAAGATGGCGGAAGCTATTCCCCGTTGCTTCAGCAAGAAGTCGATGAACAAGAGCAAAGGCATCAAAAGCTTGATCCTCCAGTCATCGAAAACGGCTTTGTTGTTCATTCCACCAGCACAGTTCATCAGAGCAAGACCTTTCACTAAATCTTCTTGTCTTTCTGGTTCTTGACAGAATCAACAAAACTCAGTATCTCAGATTTGGAAACGGGCAAAAAACGAAAACAGAAAATGCGCTGATATATTATATGACATGCACTTGAACTTTACTCTTCTCCGAGAAAAGACAGATCCATCACCGACACACTCAAATGGATTCAGTCCAATATTTTGATTGGCCGGTATTTGGTGTAACCATAAGCTATGTAATGTAGTATACCGAGTTTAAGCTCGGGCAAGTGGTACCAAGTATCAAAACAAAGAGAAACACGCTACTTCAACACTCATGATGTCTTAAACTCATGCTCTTCTGTTCCCATTCACTGATCCTAATGATCCAATTCACAAGATGTAGTAACTTCAGTCACCCGGAAAAACAAAATAATCAGTCCAAACAATCTTGTTGAGCATGAATTAGCGGTGAAAGCGACTAAACCTGAAGCAGCGATTAGACAAGCCAGGCTTCCGACTGAGTTTCCAATCAAAACAGTCGGTCTCTGGACCACTTCCTCCACGAAATCGAGTATCAACTGCAAGTTTGACAACATTCACAGTGAGAAAACTAAAGATACAGTGCTCTTTCTTTGAGCAAATATTGCCCTAAATGCTTAGTACTTGTCCATGGCAAAAGGATGGTTACCTCGGCCCATGTCTCCATTGTGTACATAAAACCAGGTGGTTTGTCTGAATCACCAAATCCGAGAAGATCAACGGCGTAGACGGTATGGCTTCTCGACAACACACTTATGTTTCTGAAACGATGTAAGAAGTTTCTTCATTTATACGATTTTATCATAACGGAAACAATCTTCCACAGACCCTTAAGCCCTAAATTCCAAATCAAAAGGGCGAAATTGAAGAAAAAACAAATATCAGAATCACCATCTTCCACAAACCCTTAAACCGTAAATTCCAAATCAAAAGGGAAAAACTGAAGAAAAAACAAATATCAGAATTCAGCTGTTCACAAAATTCCATAAACAGAAACATTGAAATCGTTACCTGCGCCAATGAGGAATTGAAGCGCCAAACCCATGAACGAGGACCACCGTCTGACTCGCCGGACATGACTCCTCCGGCGAACCCATCTCCAAGTAATTGATCGAGTATTGTCTCTTCCACTGCCATTTTTTGCTCCTCTCTCGGATCTCCACCACCTCCAACGCCTCCACTCCTCCGCCGGAAACCGCCGCACTCCCCGACGGCGCCGCCGTGGCCCTGACGCAGATCGAACTTTTCCGGCCGCTCGGCCGATTGAGAATAACCGTTGACGCCGCTATCGCCGTCGGCGACGATGTTAGAGCTCTCATCTCTGTTCCACTCTCACACTGCCGTTTATGTGGCTCTGGTTTTTGTCTAGCGGACCGTATGATAGTCTGATCCGGTTTACGTTTGACCGCTTTCGGTACAAACCGGTTATCAAAGTCGGTTCATGCCCGGAAACAATAAAAATGACTTGGTTTCGAGATTAAATCCAAGATTAAAGAATCGATCATAATCCTATGGTTTAGCCTTCTGAACCAAATACAGCCCCAAATTGATTAATAATATTACCGGTTTACGCTTTTTTAACGTCTACGTGCATGCACGTACGAATACGTACATACAGGTTCGTATGCAATCATGTATTTGGATGGAATTTGTATGATGGAGAACCATCATATATAATATTTATATATTTAGATTTGAAAGATTTTCTAACAACCGCTGATAGAATCATGTTTTATTTCTTACATCATTATCAATCATAATCAAAATATTATCAGATTACTTATCTTTGCAAATTAAGCTTTGAGAATCGGACCCGGGCATTAACGGCCACGAGTTCAGTTCGTGGCTAACCGTTTCTTCCACGTGGCGAGATATGATTGGATGTTAAAGATATGACACGATATCGCTAGATTCTCGAAATGCCTTGGATTTGTTTTTTGTTTTTCATTTTTTTAAAACTGTGTGACGTAATAAATATCATAAATCAATTTGGCGTATTTTTTTTTAATTTCTTTTTCTAGGGTACGCGTAACCATTTCTAATTTGAAAAATATCATGTACTTATATTGATTAAAAATTATAAATCATTCAGATATATATTTTTGTGGTATATCACTTATTAGAGTGCCACTGAAAATGCGTCAGGCTAGATAGGCAACGTGCGTTAAATACCGCAAATCATATGACGCATTCACAAAACCTTTTAGTACTATTGCACAGACTGGGAATCTCCTTAGGTACGGATCCTTACCAGTTTTAGGCCCTTTCTTCAAATGTCTCCTTATTATTATTTTTAAATATTCACAATTCATCAGCAATTATATTTACTCAAATTCAGAAATTTCAAATCCGAGAGCGTATTACAATATATTAATTTGTGATTATTTTCTTTGTTAGTTGCAAAATAGGGAGTACCCGTAGTTTTCTCCCTTGCAGTATATACAATTTCAACTTTCCTATGCTAATCAATTTTTTTTGGATAATCCCATGTAAATTTAGTTTTTATATATAATTCAAATCCGATTTTAGTAATAAAAATATGTGAGGATTCATGTATATTCAACACTAATTTGTATTTGTTAAATACTATTTTTGAAAATATAGAAAATATTTTATTTAGATGTTTTATATGTTGAACAAGTGCCATTTGAACCAAGACGAAAGAGACAGTGATCAAAAGCATTTATACGTTTTCGGTCCGGAAACGTCTTTTTCAAGAACTCAGGCACGTATTAAAATTGATTTTTACAGAGGAAATCTAGCTTCTCTTATAAAAAGCCATGTTCTTCACCACCTCCACTATTCAAGGTCAGGGATCGTCTTCTTTCTTGGATCAGAATCTTCGTCAAAGGTAAATTTTGTCACTTCCTTTGTTGCAGATTTCTCCTTGTGAACCTGCTCCGTCTTTTTCGTTTGCGCTCTCTCTTGATTTCTCAACGTCGATTCGACGGAAACTGTGACGAGAGGAGGAGTTTCTTGCTTCTGGGTCCGTTTGGGGGTTCGTTTCTTTCTGCAAAGTCTGCTTCTTTTTCCGTGCTTGAATCTTTGGAAATCTGGTGGAAGATCCGTATCAATGGAAAGATGTGGTCTTTTAGTTGTTCGAGGAAATGCTCCAGTGAGATGTGGTCTTCACTGGTTCTTCCATCAATCATCTTAGTGCAACAACTCGAATAGGTTCTGTTTCATATATTTGTTCATCTTCCTGATGAAATCTTGTCCTTGTGTGGCTATACAGAGAAGAAATCTTCCAGACGAGATCTTCTCTATGAGTTACCGATCCTGGAATCTGAAATCAATGGAAAACTTATTTTGTGTTGTGTTGAAGTGAAAATCTATAGTTCATATCCGAAATGTTCGGTTAATCCCTTCTATGCCCACATGAGCTTGAAACTATGTGATCTGTTTCTGAGATTTGATAATATCTGATACCATTTTGCTGCAACTGATTTGGACGCCGTCTACATATGTATCCTTGATTCAGGTTTACATGGCGCTGCTTCCAGTTCATCATGATTTTCCTTGCAAAGAGCATATTTTCCCGAACGAAACTTCGTCTCGGCAATGCAAAGGGGAAATATCATTTGATGCAAACGGTTCAAGGCGTTTCTCACCTATCAGGATCTCCTCATACAAGACTAGTTGTGCCTTTGACATGTTAATGAGGGCTGGAATTACCAGCACAAGTGTTATGCAACATGGAATGATGAATGAAGCAACAGTGCTGAATTGGGATTGTAGGTTGAAGAGTCAAACAAAGTCAACTCCATATCGGCTTTCGACAAGAGGGAAATATTGTCTGGTTAGGGCATCATTGGAGCCCAATACTACGGAACAGCAACTTAGACTGTTGGATTCTTACTTTGGGAAACTCCAAGGTGATGGCAGTAAGCTTTCTTCTAGAGATGTTAACACTGAAACGGATCAGAAAGTTGAAATCGATGCGGAGGAAGAAGAACTGGAATCTTTGAATGCATATCTTGGCAAACTCTGTAAAGGTAAAACATTAATAAGTTCCATTGTTTCGTTTTTTCTCCTTTTGTCTTGTCAATATACTTACTTGTTCTTGGCTACCCTTTTACCGTTCAGATACAAGTATGGAAGGGCTTGTATCAAAAGGCAGTTCAGGAGCAAACCCATTAAGCAAATTGAGTTATATCAACTCTCAGAACGTTCCATTTGGGCAGCTCAATGACGATCTATACGACGATACATCCAATTTCTATTTAGTGTAAGAACTCTTTTTCCGCCTACTTTTTCCCTTTATTACTTGTGCTAAATGCATGAGTTGTTGGTTTTTATGAAAATGTGAAAATGCAGAAGCTTATTAGCATCCATAAACGTTGGGGTGTGTCTGTTCGAAGTGGCAAGTCCAGTGAGGAACAACGAGATGGGGCTCTTGTCGATTCCTCTGTTATATGGATCAAAGATAAATGATCTAATAATGGCTGGCGAATGGTGGAGACTTGTCACGCCCATGTTTCTGGTACAAGACCAAACAATTGGGTCTGTTTCTCTCTGTCTATATATATGCTGTTTTTAAGAGCCTGCACGATGATTGCAGTAAAAAAACTTGACAATTAAGCCTTGAATCATTAGCTACCAACATATGTGCTACTATGTGTCTAAATCGGGTTTGATTTTTGTTGTTTCCATTGGAGGAGAGGTTGGGTTAGGGCTGGGGGTGGGTACCGACCCTGCGGGTACCCGAAATTTAGAAACCCGAGCCTATGAGGTCTGGTGTGTGGCACCCGTAAACCCGAGCTGTGGGTTACAATTCGGGTTTCATCAGCCGATTACCGGGTCGAGGTAGAGAGGGGGTAGGGCGGGTAAGCGCAAGGAGCGAGGAGGCGATGAGAGGGTGAGATGCAGTGAGAGGGATTAGGATTTTGCTATGAACCATAACCCGAGGTGGCGGTGTTCCTCTTTTAAAAATAAGCATTCGGGCATTACATTAGGATTTAGGATTACGAAAACAAACGGGAAATCGATAGCATCTCATCCTCTCGCCTCGACTCTGACTTCATCCCCCGGCCAGCTGCCTCGCCCTCTCGCGCTGCCTGCCGATAGCCCATAGGGTACTCGGTCCCTCGCCACATCTCACGGGTAACTGAAGCTCGGGTACCCCAGTAGACCAAAGTCAGGTAGCTTGACTGAGAAACCTGGGGAGGTGAGGCCGAGGCCGGGTACGCTGGAAAACTCGGGTATCCAACCAGCTCCCACTCCACCGATAGTTTGAGTTACAAATTCATGGCCCTTGAGGGCTTTTGGTTTCAAGTTGTTCAATGTGGACTGAACTGTTAGTATGATTTTGTGATCTGAAACGCTTTCTTCTTCTTTTTTGTTTTGGTAAACTGCAGCACTCTGGGATTCTTCATGTAGCGCTTAGCTCATGGGCTCTTCTCACCTTCGGACCAAAAGTCTGCCGTTTTTATGGCCCGTTCACGTTCTTCCTCATCTTCATACTCGGAGGAATCTCTGGAAACTTCATCAGTTTTCTTCACACTCCATACCCTACGGTCGGAGGAACAGTAAGCTAATAATTACTTTGTCCGAATTTATCAGCTACCCTCATTTGATGTCTGCTTGTTCTGATGCCTTTCACGTGTTTGTATCAATGGGTAAAGGGACCAGCTTTCGCCATTATAGGAGCTTGGCTCGTGCATCAAACGCAGAACAAGGACACGATCAAAGAGGATGAACTCGAAGACTTGTATCAGAAGGCGATAGTGATGACAGGGCTTGGCCTCATTTTAAGCCATTTCGGCCCCATAGACGACTGGTAAGCTCCTTTTTCTCCAGCAACATTTCAGCATAGCGAAGCTTTACACGCGTACAAATATTTCCGTAATTACGAAAACCGAACTCGAATCCACGGGTCCGGTTCCCCGACACTGTACATCCGTCCTCGTACAAACCTGGCCTGAGTACCCGAATGGACAAGGATGCAGTTTGTTGTTGTTGTTTGTCTGAAACAAGTTTTGCTTAAACATTTTTTGCAGGACGAATCTAGGAGCAATTCTATCCGGGATCGGGTACGGCTTCTTCACCTGTCCCGTACCCGAACTCGACGAATCGTCTTCGAGGAACGGGCGAGAAGAAGGCGTTGCGGTGATGAGGCGAAGCGCGGGACCGTGTAAATCTTTGTTCGTGTTCGCGGTCTTTCTGGCGGTCATTGTGAGCTCTCTAGTACTGTTCGTCGACGGGCCCTTCGATATCCCGACATTTGATGACATCGTTTACTCTCTTGTTTAGTTTTTTTTTTGGTTATATGGTTATGTCTAGAAGAGCTTGTGGGCCTCTAAACACACATGGTTTTGTGTTACAGTGGAAGCCAAGTAAGAAAACCGGAAGAAAATGGGTTACTTATTCTAACCCAAATATAGAAACAAAAATCTAAACTTTTTTGTGCTATATATAGATTATAACCATAATATATCAATATATATTCTTTATTTACTATTTTAATAAAAAAATATTATAAATTTAAGGTTAGGAACAATATGACTAAGATTGTATTTCGAATCAAAATAGTATATTTCGAAGGCAAAATAGTAAAAATATGATATTTTTTATATAATGATTTTCAATCCATGATCTTATAGATAATTATATACCACACTGGTCATAACATTAAATTATAATTGTGAAATATAAAATGTCACGGTGATTTAGTGACATTATGATCACATATGATGATTTGGTGACATTATGATCAGTATATGGATTAAAATCAAAATTACAATTGAAGGTTATTTTTTATAAGACCCCTTATAACCGGAAAATACGAAAATAGCAACAAAAAAAAAAAGGTCAAAACACAATGAAAAAAAAAGAAATCAACATCAAGGAAAGCGAAATGTGTGTGAAACAAACGATCTAAAACACCATCAATAGAAAAAGGGTCTCTGTTCCTAAGACATAACACGAAATTCCGAAAGCATGTGACGAGAAGACTACAAGTGTGTGTGTCCATATAACAAACCCCATAGGATATTAATTGCTCTCCTTCTCCTTCTTCATCTTCTAGTGTTTTTTTACTGCTTCTGTTCATCCTCTGCACCTACAGGCTTTTCTGATTCCTTGATCTCATCACCCGCCTCATCCTGTTGTCACGCAAGCAGGGTTGTGTCAGTTTCCGACCGGTTTATTCCTACTTCACTAGTTGGTACAGAATTCGTTCTGATCTAGTTTCTTTAGTAAAAGCTGTAAATTCTACGGAGAGGAAGACACAGTGAGTAGTAAGGGGAAGTGGGAGACTTACAGTGATGTCTGAAGTCCACAGAGTCAGATTGTCCCTGAGAAGTTGCATAATCAGAGTGCTATCTTTGTATGATTCCTCACCAAGTGTATCCAACTCGGATATAGCTTCGTCGAAAGCCTGCAAGCAGAGTGAAAGAAACAACAAAAAAAAAAAGAGCTCACACAGTGAGATGCAGTGATGGAGAGTTATGTGGTAATCCACAAATGCACGATGACACAACTGAAAGAGTTGACATAAACCCGGTAATGTATGTTGGTTAATGCAAGTAATCGTCAATCAGACTGATGGCATTACTCAGATATGTGTACAGGATGAAAACAAGCAAAGATATAACAGTAGATGATAAAACAAACCTGCTTGGCAAGGTTGCATGCACGGTCGGGGGAGTTAAGGATCTCGTAGTAGAAAACGGAGAAATTAAGTGCAAGACCCAGCCTGATTGGGTGAGTGGGAGCTAACTCAGTAACAGCAATATCCTGCATCCAGTGGGTAGACAACAAAATCAGTATACCAGTGGGACAGCAAATAATGCCAAAGGTTCTTGTAAAGAACAAGAGTTCGTATGCTTAAATAAAAGTGGCAATCCTTGCCTGAGCAGACTTGTAAGCCAACAAGGTGCTCTCAGCAGCCTCCTTCCTCTCAGCGCTAGTCTTAAACTCGGCAAGATACCTGTGGTAGTCGCCCTTCATTTTGAGGTAGAAGACTTTAGATTCGGCTGAAGAGGCAGCCGGAATGAGATGAGAATCCAAAAGGTTCAAAATCCCATCGCAGATCTTGCTAAGTTCAGATTCAATCCTGCCCCTGTAATCCTTAATTGTAGCAACATGATCCTCGTTTCCCTTGCTCTCTTCCTTCTGCTCGATAGAAGAGATGATCCTCCATGAAGCTCTTCTGGCTCCAATGACATTCTTGTAGGCAACAGAGAGCAGATTCCTCTCCTCAATCGTAAGTTCCTCGGCATCCACAGTCTTGGCAACCTTCTCCATGAATTCAACCATTTCCTCGTAACGTTCAGCTTGTTCGGACAACTTTGCCATGTAAACAAATTCTTCCCGTGATGACCCAGTCGACATCTTAAATGTACTGCTTTAGAGCGAAACCTGCAAGTACAAACGGATAATACAGGTTAAGTAACTGGAGAGGAACAGCATAAAACAAAACCAAGTAACCAACAAGGGAATCTGTTTGCAAACTGCCAAAGTCATAAGCAACAACTGAAATTTCAAGTCATCCCAAGTATAAATTCAAACACACGCATGTAGCGAATCTAGCGATGCCAAAGGGGTTGCAGATTTATATCTGAGTGGTCAAAGTCAGTATGTAATCTAACTTCATGAGATCTATCAAACTTTCACAAGAATAAAAGATATAAAAGTAATACATTTTGTCATATTTTTTGCGTCTCAGGCAACTAGATCCAAAACCATTAGTCTCCAGAAATTGGCATATGCTCTTCTTGTGGAAACAAGAAATTATCAACTGGACAACGTAAAACCTATATCCAACATGTATAATCGAGAAACTTAGAATGACGGGATGTTTCTACATAGATCATTTCAGCCTTTCAGGGACCAAAAATGTTCAATTTCAAAGAAGGTTAGATCCAACTAACGTTGTTTGAAACATCCACAACGAAATCGATTTAAAAAAAAACGAATCCTCTCAAGCAAGCCTAACAACCAGAAATCTAATCGTCAAGCTATAAAAGCCCTACAATCATCGCATCAAAACCGAAAACGCTCAGACAAAGTACGATTCGAGCATCGAAACAAAGCGAATCGATCAGACAGATCTCCTGATAACTACATTCAACCATCAGATCCAACGAACACAATAAGATTGCAGAAGAGAGCAAGTGTTACCTTTTTTTTTTGTCAGAAAATCGGATCCAAAGGCTAGGGCTTTTAAAAAAAGGAAGAATAAGAAGAAGGACAAATCGCCGATGCGCAGATATTTAAAGTATGAGAGTTAAAATTAATATATTTAGAGGCTCAGTCTTGAGGGTCCAACGAAACTTCGACGCGTGTTCCTTGGCCGGCTGAGATCTATTCTCGGTTTACGCACAACTCAACCGGTATCGTATCTTAAACCAAATAACCGGTTAGATCTGGCTTATCTTGACCCGACCCGGACCATGCCGAAACTTTGAAGGATCTGATTTACTAATTGAAAATGGGATTTAGATTTACACCCCAATATTTGAATTGTCTTCAAAACATTTTTCAATATATATATCGCCAAAAAAAAAAACCCTTTTTTCAGGACATATTGATTTGCAAGAATTAAAAAAAAAAAAAAGGATCAAAGCAACAAGGAAGAGAGGGAAAAGAATGTGGAGTCCAACCGTGATAACTATGTAAAAATGTAAACATAAAACGCATTTATATATCCATCCAGTTCATGATGGGGCTGTTTTCTTCTATCATATCATCATTGATCCTCAAATTCGTGGATATGATCTAAAAGATAGTTGGCTGCGAGTTCTTCGTTTTTGTTGCACGCTATGAATACCTCGAGCGCTATGTCACGGTTGAATCCCATCGCTTCAAGCTGCACAACAAAGACTCTACCGATTGCATTTCTCATCCATTGAACATTTACTATGACTGATACTCCGTACAAAATTTAAACTAGGGACTCCCAATCAAAATCACAATATAATCGCGGGCCGGATACCCCAGTTTTCCAGCGTACCCGGAACCGCCCAGCCCTAAAACTAGGTTCCCAGCCATGAACTAGCTAATAAGATGAACATCCCTAACCTCCAACAAATAGACGAGCACCATGGACATGGACCATTATTCATCAATTTCTTCTCAAGATTCATGTTGCGAGAGCATAACCATCACCAAAGACGAGTGCAATTAATATAAGAGAGGGACTGACCCGTTCAATAGCTTCACGCTCTTCGGGTGTGACGGTCACAGCTTGTGGCATTGCCGATGCCAACTGACCAAGAAGATTCCTGGAGGCAAGTGATAGAGGACGGAAATATCACATTGCATGCATCATTAAAAATTTAATAAATTATTAGCTCAGAGGAGATAGAAGGATTGACTCACTCTTCTCCCTCCCCCTGTTCATTTATCAATCGCAAGAAGTCAGCCTGATGGTCTTGAATCAGCCGCATAAGTTGTGGGTTTTGTTTACCGAGCTCCTGAAGCATGGGCTGAAGAAGAAAAATAAAAAGTTTCTGAAACCGAGTGTGGCCCCTGGATATAATCCACCAAGAAATGAAATGGAGATAAAGAAATACCTGTAGAATTTGCGGGTTGGCTTGTACCATAGCTCGCAAGGCTTGGAACTGAAAAGAAGCGAGGGTATCATAACTACTAGCTGGCAAGGAAAAACAAAGCTTTTCTCTGAGAAGTCAATAAAGATACCTGTTGACTGTTACGCAGGAAATCAAGATTACCCGCACCATCATCCATGCCCGTGGTAGGCAAGCCCTGGTGCATATACATACATAGTTCATCTCATAGAAATTAATCAGAGTAGGCAAAAGATGAAATAGGTTTAGAAAAACCCTACCTGGGGAAACAGATTTAATGGATTCGCATTTGGACCGCCGGTTAGAGCTGCTGGCACTGGTTGTTGAGCCTGTGGTTGGGGATTTGTGGCCTGTCCACCACTAGGTGGAGCTTGAGCGGCTTCCGGAATTTCAGCCTGAACAGGAATCCCCTGAAAAATTATAACAAGAATTTAATATAATAAGCATAATAAAAAAACGCGGCAGTTGCTAGTGCTTCGCTTATACAGCAACAAAGGCCAAAGAAGATGGTTAACAGTTGGCAATAACACACATACACACACACACAGAGAGAAAGAGAGTTAAGAAATGAAAATGATGCAAACCATGTATAGATATTCAACAGCTCTTTCAGGATTGTTATAGGCAGCTCTCAGAGCTCGGACAACCGTATCACGGTCCCAACTACCTCCGCCCATATCAAGAATCTGCTGAACGGTAGACTCTAATTTATTTCCAGCAACAAGGTTTGAGGCTGCTTGACCATAAACATCTGTCTGAGTCCTGCTTCAACGCACAAAAAAGATCGAAGCTTATTTTAACAAGCAGGAAACACCAGGTCCTTCAAGAAAAGATGATGATAGATAATGGTATCTAAAAATTGAGAGAGATGCTCACGAAACAGGAGCAGCAGCAGTTGCAGCTCCACTTGAAGGCTCTGGACTGCAAAACCCGGAATTGAGTAATGTAAAATAACGATCAAGTCTCAATTCCTTTAAAAATGGAACTGATTCTCCACTAATATACAACTATGTGCCCGTAACTCACACTGTAACAGTTGGAGCAGAAACCTGAGCCGTAGCTGGTGTCTGTGAAGGCTGAGCCAAAGAACCCCAACAGTTACGTTTGACAAACCAAAACTGGGATCACTAGATGCATTATACGGAATAGACACTGCCTTTTCTTGGAAATTAAAAAGCTCTGAACTGAGTAAAAATTAGCACATATACACTATACTCACCTGATTAGCACTAGCAGGTGGAGCAGATGCAGATGCAGTTGAACTCCCGCTTGAAGAAACCTTGCTCTATAGTTTGACCAAAAAATAAGTAGGTAAAAAATCAAGGTATCACACAACCTCGTTATTAGCAACTACACTCAGCTGTAGGTTCTAACGAAAATATCCAAGTTAACTCCCACCTTTGACAACATGATCACGATAAAACCTTTCTCTGCAATTTTGTTCTCTTCCAACGTAGTATCATCATTGAGAACCTTTCCCTGGTGAATTAGTATCTGCTGAGCAGCAGGGTAAACATTTGCACCCTGAACCGTTTCTATAGTCTTCTTGACATCAGTGACCTGAAGCCAGCAAAGGTCAGTAAGCCTTCAACAATTTATCCACTCGTATAAATTACATAACCCTGAAGCAAGACATAACATTATAGCAAGCTTAGACTGTCTACAAAGTTTCATAGATGCTGTCCTCAGAAGATACCATATAGGAACACGCTTAAGCTAGAACCCAACAAGAATAGACGTGATTAGAGTTCATCCATACGCAAAGAGCAACAAATCAAGTCAGGACAACAAAATTCATAGACTAACTAATAGAGTGAATCCATTACAACAACAACAAATGAAAACCAGCCAGTCCGAAGTACGAATAGCTCAAACGACATATTGAAATGGAATATATAACACCGATAAGATACTCGTAGGATTCCACATTCTACCGGAGACTCTGATATGGTGTGTAATGAATCAAAACGAAAACCATTATTATATAAACCCTAAACAGTTCACCGGTTGAACTAACGAATCTAGCAACCTATTCCAACACCGAAGTGACTCACTCCAGACCCTAATTCAAAATTCCAATCCAACCAATCCTCAGAAAAATTCCGTCCGGCAAAAACAATAGAGAAAAATCAAAGCCCTAAATTTAGTATCGGATACTCTAACGAGAAGACCCTAATTCTTGAAAAACTCAATTATCAAGAAACCAAATTAGACAACGAAACAAAGGGATTACAAAGATAATACCAGATAAAATCAAACGTAGAACAGATTCTTCCCAAAATCAGGAACCAGCGTACCTTATCCTCCGGTTTCACTTCGATCTCGAAGCTCGTACCCTTGAGAGTCTTCACGGAAATCTTCATCTTTCAGGGAAAAATACAGAGAGAGAAGAAGAACCAAACCGTTTCTTGGGTTTATATACCAGCGCAGCTGATACAAGGTTTTGATGACACAACGCACTCCTATACGTGACACGTGGCGAAGAAACATGAAACAAATATATAAACCGTGAATTATGTAGGGCACTCAATTATGGAGCATGGCTAATGATATAAATCATGTAAAGCATGATTTGTGAACTTTTGATATTTATTTATGTATTTACTAGTTAGATTTTATGGAAAATTAATATGACCTAAAAGTATTCGGAATCATATAATTAATTTGTATATCATATCTTGATTTGAATTTAGAATTTAATTGCTTAATGGAAAATTAAAAGGTTATCTCTCGGTTGGTTAGGATTCAGATTTTCGATTTCTCCATTAAGATTTTGGTATTGGTATTCATTCGATTATTAGATTTTGGTGAGTGAAGGATTCCAATTTTTGATTTCTCAATGTCGTTGTTACACCCATTCCCCTATTTCTTGCCAAAATTTGAACATTACTTCAAATTTTGATTGAATTTGATTATTAATATATATATACAGTATATAGTTTTGTTATATACGAAAAGAGTTGAAATACGATTAGAGATATGCTTATTTATTAAAGCAGTAATAATTATAAGTCTATATTAGGAGGCATCGGCATTCGGATTCCGATAAAACCGATCCGAATAATCGGTTTTCGGTTCGGATCGATTCGTTTAAAAATAACCGATCGGTTATTATAATGCCATCTCCTATGTTTTATATCTGCAAATAATGGTGTAAAAATGCTGTTTTTGTTATTTTTTTTTATATTTGACAATTCCTATATACTGTTTGGTTATAATTTTAGTTACGCAAACCCGAATCCGAACAGATATTCAAAATATATATCCAATTGGATACTAATATTCAAAATCCGAAATACCTAAATCCGAATTAAGCTAAACGACCCGAATGCCCACGGCTTTAATATATAAACCCTAGACATGGAACTACGGATAAAAGAATATACACGTGATTGTGGTGATCCGGAGAAGATAGTTGGGCCAACATTAGGGGCCTGTGAAGCCCAATAAGTGAGGGCTTCCACAACTATAGAAAATCCCCACGCGCGCTATAAGCGCGTGAACGTCCAGTGTTTCTCACCATTTTTCTTTGAATTAGAAACGTCGCGTGTGGGTGAATTCTTTTTTTTTTTTTAGAACGATAGGGGGATGCCGAAGCGAAATAAGACAGGAAAACATGCCGGCAATGTCGCCGCCGGCGAGAATTCGCCGGAACCCCGAGCTCTGGATGATTCTTGGCGGTGGTTAGTCCACAAGGGAACTACCGTGTCATTCCTCTGTATCTCCCTCTTCGCATTGCTGATCCGATCTGCTGTGTCGTTGTACCCTTACTCCGGCGCCGGAACTCCGCCGAAGTTTGGAGATTTCGAGGCGCAGAGACATTGGATGGAGATAACCACTAATCTTCCTGTCGGAGATTGGTACAGGAACAGCACCGACAACGATCTCAGTTACTGGGGGCTCGATTACCCTCCTCTTACAGCTTACCAGAGCTACGCCCACGGGATCTTCCTCCGTCGGTTCAATCCTCAGTCCGTAGATCTGTTCAGTTCTCGTGGGCACGAGTCTTATCTTGGGTAAGAATCATTGTCCCAGTTGTGATGATCTAATGTAGTCGTCTGATATTGTAGTTCATCGTCTGATATGTTCGGATCAGGGTCTTAGGGTTTTTGTCTGAAGAATCACTCTTTTGGTCATAGGTGATACGAGAAGCTCGATACTTGTTGATGATATGTGATAGTTTCTGTTGTATACGGCTTTGCTGATCGGAGCCGCATTGGTTTCCCCCGCAGAAAATTACTGATGAGATGGACAGTTTTATCGTCTGATGCCTTGATCTTCTTCCCGGCTGTTCTCTTTTTCGTGTTAGCATACCATAGAACTCGATCTACGAGCGGTAGAAGCGAGGTGGCATGGCACATTGCCATGGTTCTATTAAACCCTTGTTTGATCCTAATTGATCATGGCCATTTTCAGGTTTTACATCATCCTTGCCTCTCTTGGTGTTGCTAAATACTGTTTCTCGTTAGTATGATGATTCTCACGAGGATGTTTTTATGTTTCATTTAGTATAACTGTATCAGCTTGGGGTTTACGGTCGGTGCTATTGCTGCGGTAATCTGCCAGAGCGAGGTCCTCACCTGTGCCTTGTTCACACTAGCTCTCAGCCATAAACAGGTTTCTGTTCCTGCATTGACAAACTTGACTTAAAATATGTCGGGTATATGTGTTCGATTGTTCAGTCATTTCAAGCTAGAACCTTTTCTGTTATCTGTCGATGAACTTGGACACACATTGGTTTTACTAATCGCATCGACTGAAAATTAGATGCCGCCTTTGTAGTTGATGGAATTAAGTCAGTGTGTGTGATATAAGCTAGGGTACCACTATGGTCCATGAAGGTCAAAGACATAGTGTCATGATGTATGTTGTTTACGGAATGTATCATATCTTAGAATATAGCAATACACAGTGCTTGTTACGTACATATGTTTCTACATCAGTCCCACAATCTCCAAGAGTTTCCTCTACTTTTTGTTTATAGTACATTGTATCAACAGATTTCTCTTCATGTTCATAGCACGAGGTCTACTCTTTCGTATTGTCTTTTAATTATTTATTTATTTTTCTTGTTCACAGATGAGTGCATACTTTGCACCTGCCTTCTTCAGCCATCTACTTGGCAAATGCCTACGACGCAAACACCCAATCCTCGCAGTATTCAAGCTCGGGCTTGCGGTGATAGTTACATTTGTCATTGTTTGGTGGCCATATCTTCATTCGCTGGATGACTTTTTAACGGTAAGCGTATAATTGACCATTTCTTGTAAAAACAATCTGAATATTGTTTGATAATGTAATTTATGTTTCTCCCCTCATGTATTTGCACAAATTTATTTGGCTAAATGGCACAGGTTGTCTCTCGTCTTGCTCCATTCGAGAGGGGAATATACGAGGATTACGTCGCGAATTTCTGGTGCACCACATCCACTCTCGTAAAATGGAAGAGGCTATTTTCAACACAACAGCTCAAGCTTCTAAGCTTAGCTACAACTGTCTTGTCTTGTCTCCCTTCAATGGTTCAACAAATTTTGTCTCCCAGCAACGAAGGCTTCCTCTACGGCCTTCTCAACAGCTCAATGGCCTTCTACTTGTTTTCCTTCCAAGGTATATATCGCATTTCTCTTCAAGCTTTTCCGCCCTCTACAACTTATTTCCTCCATTATCGCTTAATGTCTTGTATTGTTGTGTTCTATCTGCAGTTCACGAGAAATCGATTCTTCTGCCTCTTCTCCCTGCAACCCTATTGGCTCTGAGAATCCCTAACCATTTCAGCCATCTTACATTTTACGCCCTCTTCTCGATGTTTCCTCTTCTTTGCCGTGACAAACTCTTGCTTCCCTACTTAATGCTCTCTTTCCTCTTCTTCGTCGTTCATCACTCACCCGGGAGCCACATTGTGAGATACAAAACCAAAACTTTGTTTTTCTCCTCTCCAATCAATCCCGGTTTCGGCTTCCTACTCAAAACCCATTTCTTCATCTCCTTAGTCCTTCATGTTGTTTACTTAACCATTCTTCCTCCTCAGAAGTACCCTTTCCTGTTCGAAGCACTGATCATGCTTCTTTGCTTCTCATACTTCATACTCTTTGCGCTTCACACCAACTATACACAGTGGACATTGTCGAGGCATCTCGGCCAAGCGAACAAAGAGAAGAAACAACATTGAAAGACCATGAAGCTTCAAAGGCTCTTTTGATTCCAGGACTCAGGTTTTTTTGTTATTGGTTTTCATGCTCATTCTTATTGACACAGTAGAACTCAGTCTTGGTTGTTTGCCGGTATTAGGGCAAAGATTATCAATGTAGAGCAGAACTTGTCAAAATATATCTTACTTCTGTATCATAAATTCATAAGGAGTGCCGTTCTGACCGTTACTTTCGTTTACTTGGGAATCATCATTCGTTTCTAGGGATGGGGGGACCCGGAATTTAGAGTACCCGGTCGGCCGCAAGTCGAGTATCTGAAAGTTAGGCTATTCCTCTATAAATGAGACGAGTATGAGTCCGTCATCAGCGAGATTCCGAAGGGTCGAGTTCGAGATCGAGTTTTGGCTGGAGGTTACCCTTGTCCTGCTGTCGGTATCTGACCCAGATGGAAGAGGGGCAGAAGCGAGTGCGAGGGGGTGAGTGACGGGAGGAGATTAGGGTTTCATCCAATGGTCAAGTTAGGGTTTTTAAAAATCGGAGATTTTGTGGATTAGGGTTTCATTCAGGAAAAAAAAAAATAAGGGCTAGGGTTTCGGCGGTAAAAATTCGACGTTGTCTTGCCTGTGTCGCATCGCTTTCGTCGCTTCATCCATTGTTGCTGGTCACATGCCTTCGTTGTGCTCCTCGACCATTGGCTACATCTCCGCTCTCTAGTCTCTTTCCTCCCCTCAGCTGACATCTCGCCTTCCACGCACTTGCCCCCACCAGTCATATTCCGAGGTCCATAGCCTCTGTCGCACCTCGTGGGCATTTGAAACTCGGGTACCCGATTTTCATAAAGCCTAAACCGGGTAAGTCGATCAAGAAACTTGGTACTCAGATTGGCGCCGACCCTTTTTTGATTGAACTCGTGCTTAACCAACCCGGTCTTATGCAAACCTAGTCGATTATAGATTTAGACTCGACCTTGGTTTATGCACAGTGTATCATTAGTTAAGCATTTGATTTAGTTTGAGCTCCACGAGATGTTTCGGGTAAAGGGTTTTAGAACTCTTGATCTATAACCCGGTTAGTTTGATACATTCAAGAACCGACCGGCATACTTCCGGTCTGAGCTGTTGACCCGGTTATCCATTCGGTATACTGTACAGATTAAGTTTTGTTCCTTGCAGGGGCAAACGATCAAATGACAAGGCCAAACACTCCCTTTTTTTTTTTGTGTGTGTGTGTTGTCTGAAATCATGATCTTGAATTTATACCTTATTACCTCTTTTGATGAACAATCAAAATCAACTAATCAAGACCGTACAAAGCACAAACAATTGTGGGTCCCCCATGACGTACGGTCTAGATTCTAGTTTTTAACCCTATGGCGGGCCTCCATTTGTTTGGGCTTTGATGGGACAATTACCCCCCACTAAATACACCGAAACAGAGAGCCCAAAAAAGAATATATTCCTAACTTTTTGTTTTCAATTTTTTATTTCTTATTCATTTGTTTTTAAATAAGTGCTGTGAAAATTTACCCTACATTTTTTTTATAAAAGGGTAATAAAATTTAGCCTACGTTTTTTTTTGTTTATAAAAGGGTAATTAGATTTACCTCCCTACGTTCGATATGATATACAGGTATTTGATCTAAATGTACTGTTTAGGATTGGATTTGGGTAATTTTGGTCCAATAATCTTAAAATCGTATATAAGTTTCGATAAATGTGTGATGTTGGATTCCCCTCTGTAATGTCGCTCTCATTTTCCCCACGTCTCTTTCCTTTTGACTTGACAATATAGTTTCTGCTCAAATGTTATTCATGTGCATTCGTGATGGACCCCTAATGATTAGTTGAGCATCATTCTTCTCATACTTTCCGTCATTATAGATTTTCTTAGCTTAAAACGTTTTATTTCTCTTGTTAATCTAACAAATAATTCTGTATTCATAACCCATAAAAAAAAAACAAAGGTCCAAATCTTGTAAATATCATAAGGGGTTATTTTAAACTCCATTGATTTGTAAAATCGACCGTTTAAATATCTATTTAAATTAAATTTGATAAATTATGTCCATCATATATTTAAACTACTAAATTAATATAAATGAATGAATTATTGAATAAATACTCTTTTCTATATATAACAAAGAAAATTGAAGCAATCATATACCTTTAGAGACGCTGAGAGAACAAAAAAAAATGTCTCCAAAATAAATATGCAATTGATCGCTCGAAGTGTTTTTTACTCTCTTATTTAAATTTTATCGTAATAAAACTTTTCCCTCATGCACAATTTCACCAAATTATTTTAAAACGCATTAAAAAAAATACAAAATGAAACCATAATGTTGATAATACCAAACAACATGAGGGATGTTATTGATAATGCAAAAGATTAAGGGCGAATTTTGAAAATTGGTAAAAATATCGTGCTATCTGAAATTTTCAACTATTTACTCTTGCATGGAATGTGTTGCACGTTGAAGGAGAGAGTCCCGCCGAAGTGTGTATCGCGTGCTTTGTGATACGCGGTGAATAAAAGAAGGTTACAAGATCATCTTTTTTCTTGATCAAATGATTCTACAATCTTTGACTAAATGTTTCCAATTAATTCTATTTCTAATTTTGATTATAATAACATGCAATTTGACGGAATTTTTATATATTGAATATATAATAAATATACTTTATAAAAAGGAAAACAAAGATTTGGTAATATATTAATGCAGAGGCATATACTATATGTTATTCAATTAAATATGAATAAAAAGGAAAACCAAATTTGTTAATTAAATATGATTCATACCATCCTATGTCTAAATCAATCCATATAGTTAAGCTATCTGGTTAAAATGACTATGCGTCTAACCTTATAATAACATTAATCAATCCCATGATGATTTAGGAACCGAATAACACACCCTCATAAAAATATATATATGTTGATATATATGAATGTTGATATAAACTATTATAAATATCAATATATCATGATGATAATTTTGTTCCGACAGAATTTTAACTATTCCATTTAACATTATAGGAATCAAAGGGAAAGGCCGTGTCTTGTATTAACATTATTCATACTTTTATAAGCAATTGATCATCACTCAGAGGCATATATATGTGATATCCAACAGATTATTATCACTTAATAAGTAATTTTTATGATTAAATCAAACTTTATTTATTACATTATATGATCATAAATATTTATATTTTATTTTTAAAAATCGACCAACCGACCTGAAATTATAGTTCTAATGCATCCTGAATATATACATACATATATATGTGATATTCGAGAAAATGATTTAGGAGAAAAGGATGGATAAGTTTCACGCGCCGACTCGCCAATACCTTGGCGTTATGTAAGTGCGCTTTGCTTTTGAAAGAACATATCCAAAGCAGAAAATTTTGTAAATTAATTAATTTAATTTAATCTTTTTTTGTTGAAGTTAATTCTGATTCTTTTTTAATGTAACGTTCAATCGGGTTATTATATTCCAAATCTTTGTTTAATCACGATCGCCATGATTAACTACAGGACCTTTTAAAACTTCCATTTCAGTTTCATGAAACTAGGACAGATGAATTGAGTGTTATATTTATTTTGTTATTAAACATATATCAGAATGATACGATATGAAATTATTTTATTATTAAACATATATATTAACCAGGTACCACCCCGTATATAGGATATGAGAGGTTCATAATTAAATCAATCATATATAATCTAATTATATGGTAAATCTTATAATATAATTAGTTTTTCCTTCTATAAGATAATGTTCGAATCACAGACAAGACGAACCTTCATCTCCACCATCCCATCAATATGAGTTATATCGACGGGTAAAATTTGGCATTCATTAAATTATTCAAAATATTTTTTTTGGAGATTCTAATATATTATTTTTTTTAGTGATTATCGAATTAAACCTGTTATTCAATAAGCAATATCGATTAACAATCCTTTGACAAAAAAAAATCGGCTAGCAATCTGTTTATGTTTTTGAAAAGTCTATAATCGAATAATATATATATATATATATATATATATATATATATATTGCATCCTAGTTTTTTTGGTAGACCATATCTAAAATTTGTGTGGACTATTGATTGTTTTTATGCCAAATCATTGAACCCGATCTTACGTTGAACTTATTTAAAAGTTTATGCATTATATATTGGTTTTATTTTATACGATGATAATCGCTAGAGCCAATAGAACATGAGAGTATACGTCAAATAAGTTAATATAATAAAATGTATTGTGCCGTCCCTTTACATGAATTTATTTACTGGACGGGCGTATCGTTTCCGAGAATATATTAGATTTTTCTTAAATTTTAATATCAGATTTTGTTTTGGTATCAAAATAATAATAGTTTATCAAAAAAACTATTTGTTCGGCAAATATGTTTTTAATTAAAGGAGTAGAAAGTTTTCTAAAGAGAATGATTATAAATAAATCTGATATATATATATATATATATGTATATATATTAGATACGTAATCTTCAGTCTCTCACTTTAGATACCATACTTTGGATTTTCAAATGGCAAACACGGCGTGGCATACCAAAAAAAAAATTATAAACAGATCTTCTTTGCTTATGCATATATATATCATATATGTTTTATAATCGCCTAACTTTATCATGAAATAATAAAACAAACAAAATTATGGTTTGATTTTCGAAACATTGGTATATACACGTACGCGCGCACACGCATGGATTTAACAGTAAATATTTTGTTCTAGTATTTAAATCCAATCAAATAATATGTAATTATATCCTAATATATAATTATATTCGATCCATATTCACTTTTAAAAACTTATTATCATCTAAAAAACAAATATTTTCATGTAATTTTTAAAAATAATAATTTTTTTACAGCAATACTTTCACTAATCATACAAATCATCATTTAAGTACATACAATTACAAATTTGAGATCCTATCAACAAAGGTTTAGATTTGAAATGCACAATCACACACACACACACACACACAATTATATAGGGATGTCAATTTGGGCCCGAAGCCCAAAACCCGATCCTAACCCGCCCAAAAAAAACTGGGTTAGGGCTTAAAATTATAGGCCCAAAAAAAATCGGGCTTTCGGGCCGGGCTGAAAACTGGATTCGGGTTTAACCGGGCTAAGCCCATCGGGTTTAGGGCCGGGCTTGAAAAGCCCATTTATTTTTCTTTTTTAAATTTTTTGTGAAACAAATAAATAAAATTAAAAAAAATCATAATCCCTAGCGGTTCTCTCTCCTCTTCTCCACTCTGTTTCCACGATGCCCATCTCTCCCAATCTCTCATGTTTGTCTCTTGAACTAGATCATTGGCTTTCTCCAGTGACTCTCTTCCTCTTTCTTCTTCTTCTTCTTCTGCCATCACCTCATCACGCTCGATTGTTGTACGTGGCTCTCTCTCCCCCTCTCTCAATCTCGGCGCATCTATCTCTCTCGGTAAATTTTCCTCCTCCTATTCTTCTTTTTCTTCTTCTTCTTCACCTTAAGTTGATGTTTCCCAGCTGGATTTATCTTGTCTGGGCTTTTTCATAAATCTTCTCAATTTATAATTAACCACACATACAAAAGGGAATGATTTGATTGACACACACGCACATATTATACATATATATATATATGATTTATGAGTTCCATCTATAGAAAAAATCTGAATTTTATTTACAATTAATCCCTAATCGATTAACATTCAGAAATATTATATGTTTTTTTGTCGCATTAATAATAGTGTTAGATGCATATTTGTTTCAAGTGTATTATTGTTAGATTTTTAAATTTATTCTGTTTTTGTATCTATATTAACACCACCTTATAATGCCACAAGTTTATTTTATTTTTGTATGTATGGGAATAAAACATTTAGATTGAGATGCGGGTAGGATATTTTCATCAAATAATTTATATATTTAATATATTATAAGAAAATGATATGATTCTAACTTGGACATGACACGCATGTATACGATGGCCAATTCTCACTCTCGCATATTCTTCTTCATCATCTTCTCTCTTCGTCTTCTATTATTATGTATGCGTTTCTATTGTCTGTGTTTGCACAATTTTGTTTATTTGTGTCTTTATGTGATTGTGGGTTTATGTTGGTTGATTGTGTGCATTCATTCGATTGAATCTGATTGCGAGTTCATGTTTGTCGAATGATCCAAGTTCAGACTCTGAGTTTACTATTTCAGTCTCGGTGTTTGCATTCATTGAAATGAATCTGACATCGTCGAGTATATTTTTATCTATCTGAATCTGATTGTGTATTTTTTTTCTCATATTGTTCTTTGTTGTCAGATTGTGAACAATGGATAGCGAAAAAGTTGATCTAGAAGAACAAGTGATGGATATTAGCGATGATGGACCTCCTTCTAAACAACAAGAAGGCGACAGTCAGGAGATACGTGGTAAAAAACGAAAAGGAGGGTCATGTGTTTGGGATCACATGACTAGGATAAGTCCTGATTTTGCCACTTGTAATCACTGTGGTAAAACGCTTTCTGCTGGGGCTGCAAAAGGAACATCGCACCTAAAGCGACATGTAGAACTTAATTGCAAGGCAAAGCCCAAGTTTGGTAGGGTAGATGATATGATTATTGGTTATGATGGAAAATTGAGGGAAAAGAAGATTGATCAGCTACTTTGGAGGGAAAAAGTGGCTAAGATGTTGGTTGCTCATGAACTTCCTTTCTGCTTTGTTGAGCATGTGATGTTTAGAGAGATGATGCTTTATTCCAACCGGGAAATCAAAATGATTTCTAGAAACACCGCTGCTGCTGATGTTATGAAGTTCTACGAGAGTGAGAAAGCAAAATTGAAGTCTGAGTTGGAAAAAGTTCGTAGTAGGATATGCTTAACCTCTGATCTTTGGACGGCTATTACTCACGAGGGTTATATTTGTGTGACAGCGCATTATATTTGTGAGGATTGGAGAATGCATAGTAAGATCATATCATTTTGCTCTATGCCTCCCCCACATACGGGAACGGAAATATGCAGGAAAATACTTGATTGTTTGAGAGAATGGGGCTTAGAGAGAAAGATCTTTTCTCTCACTCTGGATAATGCTTCAAGCAACGACTGTATGCAAGATATGTTGAAGTATCAACTTGATAGGCAAAACGGATTGTTGTGTAATGGTGAGTTCTTTCATGTGAGATGTTGCGCGCATATCTTGAACCTCATTGTGCAAGAGGGTTTGAAAGTAATTTGTGATGCTTTGGAGAAGATAAGAGAAAGTGTGAAATATGTTAGAGGTTCTGAATCGAGGATGAAAGAGTTTAGAAGCTGTGTGGACCAACTCGGCAGTGATATCAAATCCTCATTGTCTATGGATGTGTCGACACGTTGGAACTCTACTTATGAGATGCTTGATAATGCTCTCAAATTTCGAAAGGCTTTCTCTTCTCTTGAGATAATGGATAGAAATTACAAGTGTTGTCCGTCTAATGAAGAATGGTCAAGAGCTGAAAAAATATGCGATTTCTTGAAGCCCTTTGATGAAATTACTACATTGATTTCTGGCTCATATTATCCGACTTCCAACTTGTACTTTATGAAAGTATGGAAGATCGAACTGCTTTTGAAGGAATATGCGCGGAGCGAAGATGATATTCTTAAGAGCATGGCTGAAAGGATGCAATTGAAATTTGACAAATATTGGGATGAATATAGTATCGTTCTTGCCATGGGAGCCGTGCTTGATCCGAGGATGAAGTTGAAGGGGTTGAAGTATTGTTATGACCAAATTGATAAAAACACGAGTGAAATTAAAGTGGACAAAGTGAAGAGTAAGATGTATTTACTCTTTGAAGAATACAAGGCTACTTTTGCGGTGTCGACTTCAAAAAGCTCAACTCCTTCAAATGTGGCCGGTTCAAAAGAAAAGGTTAAAAAGTCGACTCTTTACGCGGTAAGTTCTATTCTTTTTCTTCGTTTTATTAGTTATTCCAATGATTTCTTTTGATTATAACATTGTTCAATGTTTGGTATTATATAGGATTTATATGGATGTGATGATGGTAATTCGTCTGACGATGGATCGGGATCAGCTTTGGATAGGTATTTTTTTGATCGTAAAATGAACATCAAAATCCATAGTGATATGGACATTTTACAATATTGGAAGGCTAATACCGGACGATATGGCGTAGAATTGGCTCTTATGGCATCAGATATACTTAGTATTCCTATTACTACCGTTGCTTCTGAGTCATCTTTTAGTGCTGGTTCTCGCGTGTTGAACAAGTATAGAAGCCGTCTTTTGCCTTCGAACGTACAAGCTTTATTATGTGCCCGTTCTTGGATGTTTGGTTTTAAAGAATTTGGTAAGTATATATTTTCATAACATTGTCATGATTGTGATTTAGTGACGTAGATGTTTATGTGTTTATGTTTAACATTCTGATTATTGTAATCGGTGTATAGAATCAGGTCTTGGTACTGTGGAATCGACGGATGGATTTCTAGCTGCTTCACTATCTCCTTTTTCTACCGTGTTAGAGTCTACAAGCGATCACTCTATGATGGGGACGGAAGACGTATTAACAATTGAGTGATTTGTATAAAAAATTCAGGATTTGACCATTTGTCTAGTTGTTTTTAAAGATATTTAGTTTATTTTCATGGTATGTGTTTTTATATCTTGTTTTACTTTTAGTTATTAATGAATATATTTAGTTTGTTTTTATGATATTTAGTGTCTATTTAAATTTGCAGATTTTTAAATAGGGTCGGCCCGAATCCGAACCCGAACCCTATAAAATTGGGTTTGGGCCTAATTTTATAAACCCGATAAAATTCGGGCCGGCCCGAACCCGAACCCGAAACTCTCGGGCCGAGTACGGATCCGGGCCGGGTCGGGCCGGGCCGGCCCATTTGACACCCCTACAATTATATATCACATCAAATCAAGAAAATGATAAAATCATTAATTTCCATTCCAAAGTTTCAAAGAATTGTATGTGTATCGCCGAAGCCATTAAGCATTGTTTATGCATTCGGCATCTTTCTTAATTTGCTGTATTTATTTCGCAATTTCATTCTCACGTACATTTCTCAAAAACGTATTTCCAACAAAAATAACAGTTAATATATTTCAGAAATTTTATTGTTTCAGCTATTGATATTACAAAAGCGTAATATAATGGGGAATAAAAAAGCACTTCTAATATAATTTGGAAAGATAAGATTATTCCCCCACAACTGATTTCCTAAATGAAGAAAAAACGAAAAGCCGAATATAAGTGGCTTATGTTCTGTCTTAAACAAATAAAGCAACTGATAAATTAAATAAATGAAATTAAAAAAAAAAACAAATAATTTCCTATTCTATTACTCCCACATTTTCAGACTATAAATACATACACACGACTCTTTATTATTGTTCAATAAACATCACCATCTCTCTCTCTCTCTCTCTCTCTCTCCATATCTTTTCTCTTCGTATCTTTTTGTTGCAAAAAAAAAAGATACAAAAGTCATGTCTGCTGCGTTAATACAATCACTCCTCGTGATATTCGTGACCCTCATACTGAGAATCCTATACGACACCGTTTCGTGCTACTGGCTAACGCCTAGGCGCATAAGGAAGATGATGGAACGGCAAGGAGTGACCGGACCCAAACCACGTCCGATCACCGGAAACATCCTCGAGATCGCTTCCATGGTGTCTCGGTCCGTCGCTAATGACTGCAACTCCGTCCATCACGACATCGTCGGTCGCCTTCTTCCCCATTACGTGGCTTGGTCCAAGCAGTACGGTAAGTATATATATATATATGTGTGTGTGTGTGCGCGTGTCATTTTCGTAGAATTAATTTGGCATGACGATGAATCAATTGCGTTTTCCGAAAAACATTTGTTCCACATGATTCTCCATATTGAAAGAATATTTTTTTAATAATCTTTTGCATATTCCGAATGAGAAGGGAAAAAAAAAGAATATGACCAAAACATATCCTATTCCTATGCTAAAAAAAACAAAAGGAGGAGAAAATCATCGTATACGAGAGTTTGTAATAACCATTCACTGGATATTGTGCTCCGGTCCGGTTTACATGAATTAAACCGGTTAATCGATAACCGGGAAACGCAAATGTTGGTGGTACGGAATTTAACAAGTATTAATTCCATCAAAATAAAGTAGAAAGAAATAAAAACAAAAGTACATCCACCACCACCACCGCATTGTTCCGCATAGATCGTGCGGCGTGACGTCACGCAGTCACACGCACGGGGTTGACCAGTGCTAAAATTACCATAATACCCTCGGAGTATTTTTTTTTTTGAGAATTTTGTGGTGATGGGTGGTGATGGGATGGGCAGGGAAGAGGTTCATAATGTGGAACGGGACGGAGCCGAGGTTGTGCCTGACGGAGACGGAGATGATAAAGGAGCTTCTAACGAGGCATAATGGCGCGACGGGGAAGTCGTGGCTGCAGCAGCAGGGCTCGAAGAACTTCATCGGTTACGGCCTCCTCATGGCGAATGGCGACGACTGGCACCACCAGCGCCATCCCCCCGCCGCTGCATTTACCCGACACCGGCTCAAGGTATCCAATAATATATCCACGGTGTGTATATCGAATGACAAAAATAACCTTAACCCTGAAAAAATGCAGAAGTATGCTGAGCACATGGTGGAATGCACGAGGAGAACGACGGAGAGACTCGCCGGCGGCGGCGGCCGGGAGGTGGAGATAGGGGAGGAGATGCGGCGGCTACCGGCCGATATAATATCTGTTACCGTGTTCGGTAGTAACTACGACAAGGGCAAACATATCTTCCGCCTCCTCTATGTCCTCCAACGCCTCTGTTCCCAAGCCACTCGCCACCTCTGTTTCCCCGGCAGCCGGTGAGTGCATATAACAAAACAAAAAAAATTAATTTTATTATTAAAAATATACATACGAATATATAAATATTTATTAACAACACAAACTCTGGATATTATTCGGTAATTTTTATCATCTTTGACTTTGATACCCTTTTTCTTTTAAATGCGGTATGTCTCTTGACCACAACTGACCAAGGGCAGAGTCGTCATTTTGTATCTAACTCTAGCAAATGCCTACGAATCATTTTTTTGTCGGGGGAACAAATTTGGAGTTTGACCCTTTATTCCTTCCAGCAAGAAACCCTTCTAGGACCAAAATTATCGATTTTAAAATTTTGTAACGAGGTACCCGAACAATTTTGGGTGAATTTTTATTCCATTTTATAATAAGCATTAAGCATAGCTCATAAATTCTGATTTGGAGTGATCATAATGTGTATAATATTCGTAATTCATACAGATTTCTTCCGAGCAAGTACAATAGGGAGATAAAATCATTGAAAACGGAAGTTGAACGTATGTTGATGGAGATAATACAAGGCCGACGAGATCGCGTAGAGATCTGCCGGAGCAGCTCGTACGGAAACGATCTTCTAGGGCTTCTACTAAACGACATGGACAATAACAAGACCAACAATCTCTTGAATCTACAGATCATAATGGACGAGTGCAAAACGTTCTTTTTCGCCGGCCACGAGACCACCACCCTGCTCCTCACGTGGACCGTCATGCTCCTCGCCGGAAATCCTACGTGGCAGGACAAAGTCCGGGACGAAGTCCGTCGTGTCTGTGATCGCGACGGCGTTCCCTCCGTCGATCATCTCTCTAAGCTCACCATGGTGCGTCACTTTCGTACGTAAATCCTTAATCTTAGATTATTAGTTTATTTCAAATCAAGATTTCAACATGCATCATACCAAAAAAAAAAAAAAAAGATTTCAACATGCATGCATGCATGCATTTTTACCGTATGATTAATGTGAAACTCTTTCACAATTCATTTTCCTTGAATGAAAAGTGACACGTACGTTTTTTGTGAAATGCAATACTGTATGCACCTACACAGTTATTGCATTATGTGTCAAATTGCGACCTGCACCATGAAAGGTGGCAGCAAATCACAACCCAAATTAGTAAGGGTATTTTGGTCCTTCTCTGGATACATGCTTGTACGAAGCCGCCAAATGGCTGGGGTCCTAAGTAGATCAAGGATAGAAAAATATATATTATTGCATATAATAGACGAAATTGTTATTTATTCAATTAATATTATATTCTTTTAATTGATGGATTTATATAATAATACAATATATTTTATATTGTTTGAAGTGTCTTTGCCTCTTGGTGGGTGCGGGTAGGGTACACTACCTACCACGAAGCATAGGAAAGCCCACTTAATTAGTAGTAGTGGTGCTTCTTCTATAGCTAAACCCAAGATAGTCATATAAATCAATCCCAAAAATGAATATGGTAACATAATAAATATCAAGTAAATTATCCCGTAAAATGATTCGCTTGTTACATAGTTTATTCGTATAAACCAATCCCAAAAAATAATAGGTAACATAGTTTATAATATATGCGTTATTTTTTTTTTTTGGCAGTTGGGCATGGTTATAAACGAGTCTCTGAGGCTCTATCCACCGGCGACTCTTCTACCAAGAATGGCATTCGAAGACATAAAACTCGGCGATTTGATCGTCCCCAAGGGCTTATCCATTTGGATTCCCGTCCTCGCCATTCATCATTCCGAGGATCTTTGGGGAAAAGACGCGAACGAGTTCAATCCAGGGAGATTCGCTGCCAAAACGTTCGGACCAGCTGGTGGTCGCCATTTCATGCCCTTTGCGGCTGGTCCGAGGAACTGTATCGGACAGTCATTCGCGATGATGGAGGCGAAAATAATACTAGCGATGCTGATTTCTAAGTTCAGCTTCACGATATCGGAGAATTATAGGCATGCCCCCGTCGTCGTGCTTACCATAAAGCCCAAGTATGGCGTTCAAGTGATATTGAAGCCATTGGATTCATGAAGGGTATTTTTGTTTTCGGAGGGTTTAGGGTTTTTGGGGTTACAATCAATTTTGTATAAGAGAAAACTGTGTTATTATTTTTCTTTTTCCTAAAAATATTCTCTTTCCTGAGTTCCTTGGGTTTATTTTATACGTATATATGGAATGCCTATAAAAAAAAATGAACATATAAATATATAGTATGCATTATATTGGAAATCAATACAAACGTAGATCCTCTCCATTATCAACAGAGACAAAATCTTTGGAATCAGATGAGATTTGGTTGAAATGATCCTTTTACTATTTCACAGTTTTTCTTTTTCCATTGGAAATGGCATTATTATTGCTGGATATCAAAAATTAAGATTTTAATTTATTTGTATTTAATATTAATCAAGTCGAAGTAGCGAAAAAAACCTTTATAAACAACTTAAAAGTACACGCAACACGACTCCGACTTCAATAATGCCAACGAAATTTTTTTAACGCACCTAAATCATTAAACATAATATTAAATATATTGAACTACTTGAAAATAATAAACTAACATGCATATTTAAATCTATTCCATTATCGTCAATAACATAAAATAACTATTTTGAATATCTCCACGTTAACATAAAACAACTTTTAGTGATAACATTAGTGAAATTATAAAATATAATATATGATTCGTTTTGATTAAAATGTTTGACTGATTATTGAAATTTTCCAGTAGGTATATACATCATATATATTACTCGTTCCAAGACTATATATCTGTCAACCATATCATCTGTGGTGTAAAGATATATTTTTATTTTAGGAAATTAAAATGAAATAAAATAAACTGATATTGGAAGGGAATCTTAAAAGGCAGTAACATGTGATAATTAATATACTCACAAAAACGTAAACAGAAGCTTGCCGACAATGTTTGGGGCAGACTTAAAACAGTGTTAGAAAATTAAAATTATGTTTACAACCTAAAGAATTTTTTATTTTATAGAAAAAGAAAAAAAGTGAGATCAGAGGGAAATAAATTTAATGCAATATTATATAACTATCGAAAATATTATTATGGGATTATATATACGTTACTTTGAATCATGTTTTTTTTAAGGGAAATTCCCAAAAAAATCATCCAATTATGAGATAACTATCCTATTCATCACGAACTTTTAAAATTTCTAAATTCATACTGTATTTGAATTTTTTTTCTAAAAAATCATTCGAAATTTAAATTTTAACAAAATCCTCATCGGAACAGAATTAATTTTACCACATAGGCAGAAAGCGTCTACATGGCGCCTACGTGGCATGTACGTGTTCGCCACGTAGGATACACGTGGCGTTAATAATAAAAAAAATTTAAAAAATTGGAAAAATGTAAAAAAATTATAAAAAATGTGAAAAATTACAAAAAAAAATTGTAAAAACATTTTCAAAAAATGTAAAAAATGTAAAAAATTATAAAAATTGTAAAAAAAATTGCAAAAAATTATAAAAATTGTAAAAATTGTAAAAAAAAATGTACAATTGTAAAAAAATGTAAAATTGTAAAAAAAAATGTAAAATATTTTCAAAAAATGTAAAAAAGTGTAAAAAAAATTGTAAAAAATTATAAAATTTTAATTTGTTTTTTAAAAAAGGAAAATTTCCAAAAAAAAAAAATCATCCAATTACGAGATATCTATCAAATTCATCACGAACTTTACAATTTTATACTTTTTACAATTTTTACAATTTTTTACATTTTTTGAAAATGTTTTGCAATTTTATATTTTTTACATTTTTATAATTTTTTGCAATTTTTTTTACAATTTTTATAATTTTTACATTTTTTTACATTTTTTGAAAATGTTTTTACAATTTTTTTTTGTAATTTTTCACATTTTTTATAATTTTTTTACATTTTTCCAATTTTTTAAATTTGTTTTATTATTAACGCCACGTGTATCCTACGTGGCGAACACGTACATGCCACGTAGGCGCCATGTAGACGCTTTCTGCCTATGTGGCAAAATTAATTCTGTTCCGATGAGGATTTTGTTAAAATTTAAATTTCGAATGATTTTTTAGAAAAAAAATTCAAATTCAGTATGAATTTAGAAATTTTAAAAGTTCGTGATGAATAGGATAGTTATCTCATAATTGGATGATTTTTTTGGGAATTTTCCTTTTTTTAATGATGTAAATCAAAATCTTATGTAATTTCAGTTTTTATTAATTTATCACAAATTATTATTAAAACTTTGATATTGAGCATAACCAACCACATATGGTCTAGTGGCCACAAATGCAACATGTCCTAGGTGATTATATATCAATATTTTCGAAATTAATTATATGCAATATTTCTATTTAATAGTCGGATATTTTTTGTATATGTTTAAATCATCTCAGATAAAAATCCAAATTGAAAAATAAAATAATCTTGGTGGCAATGGAATTGGATTGTGGAAAAATTCTGACTATAAGATTCTTTTACCGTAACCAACTTTGAATGGTAGTGACTTTTATTTTGGGTTTTTGGTTTTAGTTTTTGGTTTTTGACTTTTAGATTTTTGTAAATCTAAAAAATTGTAACTTTTGGTTTTTAGTTGATTTTTTTTCCATAAAGTAGATTTCCGGATTTTTAGAAAAACCAAAATTTAAAAAATTTGATTATCGGTTTTTTCAGTTTTTAAAATCCAAAAACTTCGAAAACTACCTCCCATTCAACACCATTTTATCTTTCCATTTTACACAACAAAAATAAGAATTTTGTCAAACTGTTTTAGGATATATATATATATATATATATATATTGTTGGCCGACGTTGAAATATATAACTATATCATTGGCCATCGGCCCAATAGAATTATGCAAATCGGTTGAATGATTCGACAATCGATCCCCCATTTTCGAGACAATATCTGCAAGTGCAACTGAAGATTCGATCCTCATTTTTATCCCTTCTTTTTATTTTCAAGATTTTTTTTTTTCCTTTTGTATGGGATGTTTTTTCATTCATAATTTTCCATCTGAAATGATGAAAATTGCCTGTCAAAAAAAAAAAAAAAAAAACCTTTGACCCCGATGAGGAATTGGGAAGCTGTGTGTACGTACAGAATCCCTAATGATCTTCATTTCAAAATGAAAAAAAAAAATATATCCACAGTTATTGGTGAAATCGAAACAAATTCGATATTTTTGGTCGGGTTTAATGTATACATTAATGGTATATATAGTTCTCGCTAGAAGCAGTATATATATATATATATATATATGTAATTAGAGTGTTTTATGGGGACGTGAAATCTAATTTAAAACATCCAAGATTTGGTGATTGAAGTGGTAAGAGATATATCAAAACTCCTTTTCAATCTAAATAAAAATATTCATTTGAGTTTCTTCGATTTTTTAGTAGATGTAATTGATTTGAGATTCGGAGAATTTTCGAATTATAAAAAAAATAAAACTAATATTTTTAGTTAAAAAACCTATTAAAATATTCGAATATAAAACAACGTTTTTCTAAAAATATCCTAAGCCAAAGGAATTAATTTTAGAAAAAATCGTTAATAAATAAATAAATAAATGTGGAATATAAAAAGTCGAAAAAAAAGTAAGAAAATAAAAAAGAAAGGGAGAAGAAATATAACATAAAAACTTTAGAAAAAATCGTGCGTTACATCATGTATATGACTTACCCCATTCACTGGGAAAACATCATACAATATCGCATAAATAAAACCCCATTACACACACCGAAAATATCGACATTAAAACCTGTATAAGTATCTGATCCCGGTAAATATGATCATTTTTATTTTTATATAAAAATATCAGTTTGTAAAACGGTAATGTATCTCTACGATATAGATTATTCAAATTTATTAGATATTATATCATTATTTATATTTACTCATTCGTTGTGCTATATAATTCAATGCATTCTCTCACGTATATATTTTATCATAGTAGTGCATATATATACACACATACATTAAATTCTATAAGGAACTCGTGAGTGGCGGACCATTGGGCTTATGTACAAACTAAAAAGAAAATATTGGGCCTGTGGGGCTAATTTTACGTAGGCCCAAATAAAGTCCATTGGGCTTGTGTACGTTATTACCTCCGCTCAATTTTATTTTTCATGTTACAAAGCTTGCATTCTATTTTATAGATACAGTTATATTTTAAAAGAATACTTTATAATCTAATTAATATTATGTTCCTAATATAAATAATATTTCTACGTTTCGTATATATAAACATTTCGAGGTTATCGAAAAACCAAATTGATAAAAGCAAAAATCCTTAAAAGCCCCAAGTAGGAAGCAAATTGAGAACTAATGAACAAAAGAGCCTACAGTCAGTCCTATGTGAGCACCAAAACATTCACAAACGCCACGACCCGAAAGAGTTGCGTTTTAACCGCAAACGCAGTTTTCACTTCTCTATTCTCACTTCCCCTTTCCTTTACACGAAATCGATTCCAAGTTCTATCCTACACGTGCCACCCTCCTCACACGTGCCACTGCTCTCCACCTTCCTCTTCTTCACGTGGTTCGCACGTGACACGGACTCCGGCCCCAGTTTCAGCTCAAGCCCAATCCCGTCTACCGCCGGACGGCTGACAGCCAACAGCTGTGCCGTCTCCTCCGACGCCATACTCTCCTCGTCTTTGCTGTCTCCGCCGCCTTCCGCCGCCGCAAGCAACTCGGACTGGTGACTAAGCGATGAGTCGTGACTCGTCGACCGGTCACATGCACGGCCCCACTCCACCGCATCAGGGGCCGGAAACAGCGTCTCCTCCGCTGCGTCGTGCGTCCGCGGCTGCGCAATCTCGGAGATTCTCTTGGACCGACACCGGCTCTTAACGTGCCGTCCGCCGTGGCCATCGCTTCCGCCGCCGGAACTCTCGTCTCTGGTCACGTGCCGGATGTCGTATACCTTAAGCGGAGGAACATGGACGGTCGCCACCGCGTCGGAGGCGATCATCACCGTGACAGGAGAGCCCTTCATCCCCGCCTCAACGGCGGCTTGGCACATGTGCCAGTTTCCCGACCATAACAACCCGACGGATCCATTGATGGGATTCACAATCCTTCCGCATGCTTCGTACAGCAACGACCTAAAAACCTCTTCAACCACAAAATCATAGAAAAAAATTAAGAGAACCCATTATCAGATTATATCTGTTAAGTAATGGGTAATGGGTTTTGACTCACATCACATGAAGACATTCATGAGAAATCAACCTCAAAATCGAACCTTCATTTCAGTTCTGTCGAATTTAGGACAGAACAGAACAGAGTGTGAGAGATGCTAGCTGTTACCAGGTCGGAGATGGTCGGGACCTGCGTTGATGAGGTTGAGGAGGCCGGCACGGCCGTAGAACTTAGCGAGAAAGACGGTGGCGTTGGCCTGAGCTTCGGCGGATTTGATCCATTGGAGACATGGCCTTATACTGCAGTTCTCAGTACATCCTTTTCTCAGAACTCTACATCCATTACAGCTCATCCTCATTCCTTTTCTTTCCCGTTTACTCTCTCTTTACAAAAAAACTTTTTTTTTTCTAAAGAGAAAGACCAAGATCAGAGGAAGAAGATGATTTCGATACGGTACGGCTAGAGGGAAGAAGAAAGAATGAGAGTATTTATGATGAGCCGTTTGCTTTGGTCGGGAAGATCACAACAGGGGACGAAGAAAGCTGTTTTCCATTTCCCTTGTTTTTTATTGATGACGTCTCGTTGGTTTTGTCGCGTTTTCACTTGTCCGAACAAAAAAAAAAAATCTTTTGTCTCATCTCCCTCATTGGCAGCACGTGTTTTCATCGCTCTCCAATACAAAGCGTATATCTACCGTATACTACGACCAGTGATTAAAGTTTATTTCATTCTAAACTAAATAGACCATGTACGGATAGAAATATTCGGACGAATATCAAATATACATTCCGTGATTTACATTACACACACGCAAAAAAAAATATACTGTTTGAAAACAAAATTTTAATCTTAATTATAAAAGAAGTGGAGAATGGATTAACGACAAAAAATACTTGCAAAATACGTAAGTTATTGGCGAACAAAAATAACATAAGAATGATTAAAAATAACACGGCAAAAAATAGTATATGGTACAAACAATAATTCAAGGGACATATTACCATTTAAATTATTTATAACGAAGGTCAAAGAAAGCCCAATATAGAGTTACAAATAGCCCCAAGCAGATGGAAATAGATATAGATGAAACGATGTGTAATGAGACAAGAGAGCATGCAAGAGTGTCCAAGAGAACCATGGACGAACACGATGTGTCACAACTCGGTCCAACCGTTCCAATAATAAAATCACTATTCTTATCTTATTTTTGAATTCTTGCAGACTCCATTATATATATATATATTAAGTTTTGACTCTCTATTAGAAATAAAACGTAAGATGAAAGAGTCAAACGACCACCGTGGTACAAACATGTCCCGCCAAAATTATTAAACTTAACATTTAATCGTATATTTCTAAGTTGCAAGTTTATCATATACATTACCGTTAACATTCTTCGGAATTCTATAAAAAACAAATACTAAGATAGAATCCAAACTTGGATAGTTGAACCGGTAAAACGAAAACGCAAAACGTCTGTACCGTTCCGAATTCGAACCTCAAGTTTGGGAAAAAAACGTATATTTTAAATTCGACTCTAGAATTAATAGTCTGGATTTTGATACAGAATATCAAAAAATATTAAGATAGAACATCTACAATTTCAAACAAAATTAAGATTAAAAAAAAGTATATAACAAAACCATAAAAAGAGGAACGCATTTAACGGGACTGAAAAGGGAGACAAGTGGAGGAGACATACGTGAAGATGCCATGCAATGATGCAAATGTGTCCAAAAAAGAACCAAAAAAAACATAAGCGAGAGATCCACGACGGCGGCGCGTGTATGTCACGTTCTACAGACCAATCACCACGTGTCGGCCTCCAAGCACCATAAATGGGATGAACTAAAATAATTAAATATCCTCATTCAAGTTTTGGAGTTTCTTTTGTACGGTCGGTTACGCAATTTCCAAAAATAAATTGAGAACCTAATAAACAACTCATTGATAATAATAATAAAAAAAACAAATCAACGAGATCAAAGTATGTTTTGAGATTGTCTTTTCGATGTGTCCATTGGGAGTCAGAATCTGCCTAAAAACAATCGCCAATGCCTCTGAGAAAATTTAAAAGAGAAAACGATGGTATAAGGTGTGAAGGAGACGAGGAGATTAAAGAGATTTACAGTGTCAAGAAGTGTTCCGATTCTATGGCTTTCGATCCAACTGGTTGTGTTGTGCCCATTGGTATCGCTGAGACTGAGAGCGATGAACTCCAAGAGACCTAGAGAATGGATGACACAACGACAACAAAAAATGAAGTTGATTCATTAAGCAAGACATTGCATAAATGGACACATACATCTATGGCCCAGAGATTAGTAGCCACGGATCTCCATGTTAGCGGGGAGAGAGAGAGGGAGAGAGATCGAGATCATACGTTATCTGGGAAGTGAAAGAGAAGTATCATATTCATCTCCAAGTATCCCGTTCGACAGATCTGGCTTTTGGAGAGAATCTTTTTTGCCGCGCTCCAAAGCTGTTGCCTCGTATATCCCTGCAGGTTTCAAGCGAGAAACGTAAAATTTTTCAACGAGCCCATTGGAGAGAACGGCGGAAATGTGGGCTGAAAGAATGGAGACTTAGTTATGTGTACCGAAGCCTAGTATAAGGCAGCAGACTACAAAGCCAGGAAGAGAGAAGTCCATTCCGTACGAAATCTCCATGACAATAATGCATGCACCAGCTACCATCAGATGCCGCGGAGAAGAAAACACCATCTGCAGTCTGCAAAAGTGTAATGAACCCATAATCAATACAAATATGTAGCTCTTCCTCTAAATGCAAGGTGTGAAGAAAAAGATAAGGGCACGCTTGAGAAGAACCTCTCTTCTGCCATGCTGTCAACGTAGAATATCAGGATGATTCCGAAAACGATGGTGCTAAGGAAAGCCCAAGCAGAAAATGGCAATTCCAAAGTTTTACCAGAAGAGGAACCCTGAAGAGGCCCCAGGTTAAAAAAAAAAGGATCAGTGAACTGATGGCACAAATATGAAAGTTAGCATTGCATTCTTGACCGCTTCTTTTTTTCAGGGAATTAAGCATCACTTACTATGATCAGATCCCACATGGCCACGGGAAACAGAAAACACGTTGCAGAAGCAATGGTTATCGCATGCAATCGCTTCTTCTGTTGGTTCTGAGGAAAGGGAAAATCGGCTGTGATGCAATGTAGGCAGAGACGAGACAAGAGGGAAGGGGCTGATAGAGATAGACAATGGGAAATAGATACCTTAAGAGAAACACGACGTGCAATCACTCTCCTTAACGCTGATAAGATTCCGGCCAAAATGGGTATCAGCATCCCTCCCAGACCCAATGCTTGTTCTGTGTGTCCTTCCTCTGTCTCAACACTATCTTTGGATGGTGGTTGGTGTTAAGTTAAACATAAAGAAAGCGTAACTGTCGACATAACAGTATAAGACAAACAAGAAAGAGAATCAAGTGCACTACAAAGAGAAAGGAACATGTGTAGAGAGGATATAGAATGGAGATAGAGATGATGTCGCCCATCCTTGAGACAAAAAGAAAAGAGCTACCAGCATTGCAATAAGGCCACCTCCCTGACACGATTCAGAGAGCAGCCTTACATTAAACATTTCAAAAAATTCTCTCCCTCCCCAGATAATCATTGTAAATTAATTTTTTGAAGAATGTATGTTTTCTTTTGCAAAGTACTGCATAGACCGATATGCGAGTCAAAATAAGTAGCACGGTTCATATGGTTACCTTTTTCCAGACGTGTCCTCTCCTTCCATATAATACTGCAGAGAGTACTCCGAGAACAGCACCTGAATACTCTGACAAGATTGCTCTGCCAAGAAAATACAAAGTAGTAGGGAGAAAATCGGAAACTAATCGTATACACGAATAAATATCAGATTCCAATAAAAAGGAGAATGATTGTTTAAGAACTAATGAATACCTAAGCGGTCCACAAGATTTAAGACCCTTTCCCCATAAGATGAAGAATAAAGCTGTGATGATGCCGTTGATGAGAGAAGGCACGATCTGAAAGAAACAAACACGCTTTAGAATATACTGCAACATTGGACATTACAAATTAGAATCGAATTTCCTTTGACATATGCCTCGAAAATGTAGATACTTTCTAGTAAACCTGTTGACTAGAAAGGGCCCTTCCTCTCCACGGTTTCTGGATTATGAGGAAGATGATGGATGATGGTGCCAGACAACAGAAGATAAAGAGAACAACAGAAGCTCCTGTCTGATTCAAGTAGTTGTACATAGAATAAACTGACCATATCCTAAAGAAGTTTCCTATGAGATGGATTATCTGGAAAGGCATGTGCCTGCAGGAGAAAAAGGGAAAAAACAATGAAATCTTCACAGACAGAACAAGAACAAAACGAAAAGGAACTGGAATGGCTCTTGGGTCTTTTCCCTGAACAAACAACAAATGCCCCCAGAAAAAAATTACTAACCTAAAGGACCTCTGAATCTCAGTATAGCAAAGAAAGACAATTGTATGTTTCAGGTATAGCTAATCGCTTGCAGTTTTCAATATGATCAAACACATCAACAGATGAATTAACTCATCAGCTTGGATTTCCTATGTTACAGGGGCTTCCGAATCTCAAAAACGATAGTTGAAAAGCAATTATCAGCTGTAGCTCTCTACTGAACAGTTGTCACGGTCATGCTTAATAGATTCAAAAGATCGTGAACTTATAACCTCAGCGATGGAGGAGTATTCAATTACCTCCTAAACCAAGATATAACCTCAACTGGGTCATTTCCAGTTCAGGGGATAAGAAAACCAGGAAGAATTCTTCCCCTCATTTTCTAGGAAAACAAACAAAACCGAACTACTGTACACCAGCTTCCATCTCTGTAACCAATTACAACCCGCGAATGTCCATTGCAGGAAGAGGAATCTTCATTTCGTAAGGCAAACTTAGACAAACCGGTATGCAAGGTTCGCGAAATATGACGTGTCTCCTTCCATTTCTAAGCGATCAAACATCCAAGAAAAAAGCGCACCGAATAACAGAGAGCTGAATCCGAAGCTTACCTAAGATGCGGAGATCTTCGATCGTCGGAGATTTGCTTCGGCGACATCATTTTCAGTTCCGGGAAAATCCGAGATAATCAAATCCAAAAGCTATGCAGCTATATTCGAATTCCTCCAAACAGAATCTGGATTCAAGACTGATCAACCTGTAATTTGCGGAAGAGTCCTCGTCGTCTTCACCAGGAACCGAAGCTCGAAGTCGAATGAGAGAGAGAGAGAGGAGGGAGACTCGGATAGGTTAATGGGCCTTAATGGGCTGAGTAATGCCCATTTTATAAATGCTATGACAGATTTGTAAATATTTGAAGAACTGAAGGGTAAAAGAGGAAAACAAATAACTTAATATTAAAGATTTAAAGGTTTCCGAAAATAGCTGACGATGAGTATTGAGTACTGTTAGCTGAGCTCACCTCAGAAGCTCGACCTCCACAACCACAACAATGGCGCCTCTTCCCTCTCTCCTTTTTCCTATCTGAAAATGTCCGTAAACCCATTACCGACCCTCAGTAATCCCCAGGAACGGCGGTTTCCTATGACCTGAAGCTGGGGTAGAGCTTTCTTTCCCACTGGCTCCCCTCTGGTATCTGAACATAGAGATATGACAAAAGAAGAAGTGAACGACATAACCCAACTCTAGCTTTTATCCATGGAAGCAGCCATGCAGCCTCTTCGTGTTGGATTATCACAGACTTTTTTAGGTTTGTTTGGCCGGTAGCATGACTTCAGAGAGGGGCAAGTTCCATGTTGAAAAGAATCTAGTTCCAGTTTCAGCGAATTCTATCCTCCACTTTCCAAGAACAACGAAACAATACAAACTTTCCAAAGGAATCCTAACATCCAATCAAATGTAATCCCAAAACACCAAGGGATCAAAAGAATCGAACTTTATCAAATTTGTTGTCTGTATCAAGAATCTAGACTGCACAAATCCAGCATATATGATTTGATATAACGGCGATGAGCTCCGATTGTCAGGTATTTTGGCGAGGAAGAATCTCTGAATCCGAATATTTGAAACACCTGAGACACCAAAAGAACAGGCAAGAAAACTGCCAAAGTCAACTGAAAGGAAAGATGTTTTCAGATCCTTAGATGGACATGTGATGAGAAACTGTCCTCCAAGTTCTTGACCCTAGATGTTTGGAAGGGCAAAACTTGTCTGAAATGAAACATTTCCAGACTCCAGAGCTAAAAGGGTTTCCAAGTTCGATTGCAGAACCCAACTCGTTTAGTCATACCTTTACGATAGGATCACGAGACCGAGATACAAAGATGCGGAAAGAAACACCAACGAAATCATCCCCCTGCAAGCAACGCAGCCAAACAGTTTCACCTAAGTCTCAGTTCATTGAGAGTTGATATATACAAATAGCCAAATAGGAAAAAAAACCATGTAAGCATGAGCATGGGAAATATATGACAATGCTCAAGTGTGTGTATATATGTATGGATGTACCAGATGACACCCCAGCCAACACCGGTACAGCAAGGGCAGATTTCAGCAAACTTCTCAGCATCGCTTGTGTAGACTCTTCGGGATATCAGATCATCATAGATATCTATATCCATTGCATACACAAAATCCACTCATGAGTATATAAATCATTAACGTTTTCGATATAAGGGTTTATGTAGAACTTGAGATGGGTGAAAAAGGAAATGGAATCACATACCGTAAACTGAGAATAAGCTATTCATCACACCTGTGATATCCAGCTCGAATGTCACCAGAAATATTCTATAAAGAAGATGAAACTCAAAGATGCGGGTAGGGAAA